ATTCAACACGAAGAACGATAACTTTGGAGGTGTTTAGCTACGTATTTTAGGTTTAAATGGGCGAATATTGCGGAGAATTCTCGTCGCTGTGTTCATAGTGGCTTATTAGACACTCACTTGGTGATAGCTGATTCTGCTACCATGTAGGCTCGAAGTTCAATCATTTCAGTTTATTTTATTGTGAATATCATCACAATAACTTTTCTTCAAAATAGTAGCATCAAGTAGCTAAGTTTGGGATTAAAGCCAAAGGAAGTCCTTCGAACAACAATGATCCCACATAAAGCATCCTAAATAAGAACTTTAGGTACATCTTTTTGCAATCGTATTTGTTCTCTGAAGTTACATACTGTGCATTAGATAAGTGACTTTTACTAAATGATTTTTGTACGAATGGCATAAAGGTTTACATTTTCAGTACATCAGGAAAGGGAGCGAATTTGAGCGCTTACCTGGAAGTCCTGTACTCGAACAAACGCCATTTTTCTAAGTAAATATCTTAGACCTCACAATCCCAAGCAACTGTTTTAGTAGAAAGTAAGTAATTCAGTTTATTAAAAATTTAACAACATGGTTTGGCGCGCTGACAAAAAAACCCCAAAACAACTCCAAGTCCAAAGTGGATGAAATTTTTTCACTCGTGTGCAACACCTTCACACCGCGCGCTGATTGGCCACCTCAAATTCTGCGCGTACTCTCGCTGAGCATCACGTGACCTGGAGAGCCCTTAGGGGTGGGAGCAACTACCGCACCACAGTGTCACTGGCCCTGCCTGTGTTGCGCGATACTAAAAAATTAGATGAATAATGTACACCAATTCTCCTTATTACTGTCGGAAACCGAACGTAAATTTTTGTGCAATTTAGCAATGGACCGCTACGGAGGCAAAAAGAAGTCCAGTACTTCCTCTACAATAAATTTTGCAGAATAACATTTGGCCTGGTATATACGTGGTAGTGATTATCATTGGGAAAAATGGAAATATTATTAAATACCAATCTACTTAAAGTGGTGTCATCATTTCTCATACCTCTTCCTCGATGGCGTAAATAACTGACTATTTATTGTAGCAAACCGATGTTACGTAAAGGTAGGATCCAGTAAATACTTGTTTGTTTATTGCCCATTTTTAAGAGAACCAGGATGGACACTTTTTCCCCAACAGCAATGATAAATCTGAGTCATTCAGTAAATTACCTTTTAATAATCCAGCATACATATTGAAATAAAAAGCTCAAGTTTCTTATGCCAATTACATAATTAGAGATGTTTGAAAACCAAAGTCGGTGGTTAAGTGTGATTGCACAGTTTTGATAAAAGAATATGAATGACTGCATATATGAGATATTTGGAAGATAGTACATACTTTAGTAGATCAAATTGTTATGCAATAAATAATTTATTTATATGCCAAGGGACTGGAAAAGTAAAAAATCACGTGACACGACTGCTTTTATTCATAGATTTGCGATTATTTACAAAATGACCATGTACTAAAATAAAAACCTGAAGTAAACTATCAAGCAGTAATATAGCATATGTTCTGGCTTTAAAAACAAGCTGAAGTGTTAACCATATTACCCGTTTCCGAAAAATCTGCTAACTGTTTGAACAAACCTTTTACCAGAATTTTGTTAAATAGATATGTGAACACCAAACGGCGTAGCCTTTTCAGAGATTTCAAACTTGAGTTAGCAATGGTGCAGTCCAGAATAGACGAGACGCACAAGTACATAAAACCCCTCTTTTTACCAAATTTAGCATGAAAACCGTCGACACTTGAAGCAAATCGTTTGAAGCAAATCGCCACCCCTAAACCCCCCAAACTGCCTCGCGAAACTTGTAATGACTCCGTAAGAGGATAAGTGGAGTAAAGGCATCTTTAGTTTTTTTGGGAGGTTTTAAATTACTCAACCATTAAGTAGGAAGAAATTTTATTTATGATAAAATCGATTGAAGAGACTGCAGTTGATATATGTTTAGCAACAGCACAATCAGAAAACCATTTTGTTAGCAAATTCTTACGTAAAGGCAAAAGAGTAATGACGTAAGTTAACTGTCACAAGGTTGTCGATTTCACACATTTTTAAATGCACACAGCAAGTAAGAACAGAGCCTACGTAAAACTTCAATAACAAAATAATAATGGGGCGAAATTATTCCCTTTGCCCATTCGTACTTGACAACTTCATTTCGTCTCCTTAAGCAGTAGGACAGCCAAGCACTGAACATCTCCCCTTCGCCACCCGATCGGATTCTCGTCTTTATTATATTTGGGAAATATGCATATTTCTTTATTTTTTTGGATGCCTACATATGGAGAGTTATCCATAATTAAAGGAGAACGTCCTTGATGGTAGACAATTGAAGCCAATAGCATTGATATCCTCCCCTTACAACAAAAAGAGCAATGCGATTATACTTGTTTATTATTAACACTTCATTAAGCAATCATAAGAGTTTAACCCCAACTCCAAAGAGCTAATTTGAAATCTTATTGAAATACATTGCAATTATATGAAGCATTATTGCAGTTGTTGAGTGAATCCCAAATTAAGGAGCATAACTGCTGTACAACACTCCCCATAGTGAATTAAGCGATTTTCGCACATTTGGGGCAATTTCCAAGTGCGTTAAAACCTACCTATCTGAGTTACGCACCGTGCCGACTGAGGTAGTACTAAAACTGTAACACCTTGGTGTTAGCAACGCGGTGGTAACGTCACCCTACCAGATGAAATCTGTAAGGGATTGACGATTTGGAAGCACCTTATTCATTCAATTGGCGTCTCTGAGTATCTATCATAAAATTTTGCTTGCATTTAAAAGATAGTTTCTCGTTTTCGGTCTGCTGTAAGCGTTTTATGAATCAGTGAAGTATTTTGCCTGGTAGTTAATTGGCCACATTATAACCCTGCCTACAAAAGCCAAGATCGTTCCTGCTACTAACTTCAGCATCAGATAAACAGACAATGAATCAAGTAGTCCAGTGGACGGTTTCGGTCACAACAAGAAAAGTCTTAAACAAAGCGAAAAGCCTAAAACAACATTCGCTTCTGTGTTCAATGCAATTAATGGAAAGAGTCCTATGTGGTGCTACCTTTACTAGTAGCTTAGGGATTTGACCGATTGTTTTTTTTTTACTTAAAATTACATAAATATTTAGAGTTGAGCAGTGTTGTCTAATTCAAATCCATAAAGTATGCAACTTAGGACATATTGAAAATGAATACGTGCAGTCATCACTTACTTCAGTCGTATGAACAGGTGCCTTTAACTGCAACATTTGAGTAATGACCCGTATGAAGTAGTGAAAGAGAGTGATGCGAAGCGTTTACCCATACGGTGTGGGGTAGATTCACTGATTATTCAGCTGAATTGAAATTCGCGAGTTTTATGATGTACTTTAAAAGCACACCAAGGGTTACCCCAGATTTCTCTCCAGATGATTATGCCCAGTTTAAAAGTTATCCACTCACAAAATTATTTCCAGCGACCTTCTTTGATTTCCGAAGACTGAATTAGCCAGGCACTCAAAAAATGAATGAAAAATCTCCTTTTTATGAGCAGAATGTATAAGCCCCTTGTCAAATTTTCCTAATTAGTTAAAGCTATGAATAATTAAATAACTCATTTACAAGTGGTCCATATCACCCTGTCATTTTACACAGCAGTAAGCAAGGACGTTCTAGAGCAGTACAATCACAGGGGGCAAAAATACTTTTTTAAAAAAGCCTGCCCTTCTCGCTCTCTTGCAGTCCGTACCTGCAACAATCCTTCCAGTAGATAAGGAATTCGGTGTGCATTCAAGTATCAACTGGTGGAAAACTTGAAGAACATTGGAAAAAGCAATTAACCTAATCCCCTTACTAAAGATTGTTTTAAACAGAGCTACTGAAGTTTCGTAATGAATGTGCCTAATATCATGGATATTAAAAGAAATGAAATGGAAAACGATGCTTGAAATTTCCTACAATCGAGCTACTAGAACTTAAGATAGTTAAATTTAAATGAATTGCATATTAGTTTGTGTATAATTACACGGAAACGAAATCACAAGGATCTCATGCAAGCAAACTGTCCCCTTGCCTTGTATTATAAAATGAATTGCTACTTAAATTAAGCCACATAGTTTTGTTTGTAATTTCTCATCCCGTCTAATGGCATTAGTGCTTACAGTTAGATAATTCATCCATCCATGCAATTTACTTGATATAATGGCCATGTTATACAACTAGCACAATACACATCTGATTTTTATACGTTGATAACTTATTACAACGGTCACAATAATGTATCGTGAAAAAGCAGGCAACTGAACATTTATTCAGGAAAATCTGGTGTGGTCGTCTTGGATACACTTCTGAGCTAAGTAATTTCAGTGATTTTTAGCCAATCGCCATTCTTCCATCAATTGGAATCCTAATTCTAACGCAAATTCTGAATTGCGTAAATTCAAATTTCTAAAATATCTGGATTATGTAAAAAATGACTCCCCTTACACCAACTGAAATGGAAGAATAGCAAGTCCATCCGAACCCCAGGTTACGTATTCTTCAGTAACACAAAAATATTTATGCCATTCTGAACAGACTAAAATTGTTTCAAAGCAACTAAGTAAAACCTTTCATAAGGGAAGGTGGAGTGTCCTTTAGTGTAACTTTTGACCATGTCCTTGAAAGATTACGGCCGGACCTTATCCCCAAACACTTAAACTGGGATCGCATGGCCCAAAAACATACAATATATACTTGTAAAATGATTTTAACAGCACACAATATGGCCTTATATTTGGAAATGTTATCAAATTTGTGATTTCTATTTATCTTTTCTGAAAAGCTTTTGTAGTGGGCTTCAGGTGGGCATTCAGTGAGTCTGTTTAACTTGTTCAAGTCATTTTAACTTCTGCAACGGTTTCTTACATTTAACACTTTATAGTCAAGGTTTTAAGTTCGTCCCTTCTAACGTTTTAGATATGGGCGTCATTCCTGTTGATACTCATGATAGCCTCGATCCTCTGCTTTTGCTTTTCTACATCGTCGATTTTTCGGCGATCTGCCTGGGCTGCAAAGAACTTTCAAGCAAAGTACTCAGGTCTCTTGAACATCTCGAACCTTCTCGACGATCCCCTAGAAATCTGTGACGACTCGTCGCGAATTACGAATTCGAAAGTGCAGAAGGACTGCTTCACTGAACCGGCGTCAGGTCTTGTGATTCTCGACATGGCTTTGAATGTCGTTCTTACAACAGAATTCCTTTTAAAGGTCTTATTGGCGCCAGACAAGCATAAATTTCTCACTTCAATCGTTTCCATAATCGATATGGTCAATCTTTTCACTTACTGGATCTACATCAGTGTTTTTTATTTTACCTACTACCACAAAAAACAAAGTGCTGCTTCATTTGATCCGACCAAAATGATGGACAGACCTCCAAACAACTTGTGGCTTTTGAATATACTCTCGATGACCCAAATCATGCGAATCTTGAGGATTTTTAAAGTTTCGAAGATATCCCGCGGTCTTCGAGTCCTAATGTTGACTGTGAAGAAATCAATCCCCGAACTGATGCTCTTGGCATTTCTTCTGATGAACGGAATGTTCATGTTCTCCTGCATGATTTATATGGCCGAGTACAGTGTAAATGACACTTTTGCGGATATTCCAGAGGCATTTTGGTGGTCCATCATAACTCTCACAACCGTGGGCTACGGTGACACTTATCCGAAAGGCACAGCGGGCTACATTGTCGGCTCAATGGCCGCCATATCGGGATGCATTGTTACCGGTCTGGCTATTCCCATCATCGGAAACAACTTCAATACCTACTATATGTACATGAAGAACCAACTAAAGGAGGATAAGTATTTAAAGGAATTACGAAGAGATATTAATTCTGTTGGTGGAAACAACATTATGAAAGGCTTGGGTGGATTTGCAGAAAAGACGGGCATTCCAATGCTCCATAGAAAATACAGACAATTTCGCGGTGATAAGCAATACCCCGTTAGCAATCGCATAGCTAATACAACCGCAGCAAAACGAGAAGAGGGCCATCGTAAAACAAAACCTATGCTCTCTCCAACAAGAAAGAAGAATTTTCCCTTTAGTGAAACTTCTGACAATTTAAAGATGAGTCTACTTATGAGTTCAGGAAGTAGGTCAGCCGGAGGTGAACCCAGTAATCTTGGAGACAATACACGAACAACCACACTAGAGCGTGTATCCCTCGGCGACTCGGCAGACCATAGACAAAGCATTGGCATGCACTCCGATCCCATTGCTGATCGTCGAACAAGCATGCTTCATCCTTTGGCCACCGATGGATTGTTAAACTTGATTCCTTCCTCTGAGATACATACCTCCGGCAGTTTGATACGACCAGAGTGGGAAGAGCCCAGTGAAATGGAATTGGAAGAAATTCGATGCATACACGCGGCGTTGAGGAACCGAGGTCCAAACAATGCGGACCGGGAGAGTTTCAGTAGTGATATCGACCCGCATCCGAGCGGAATGTCTTTCTCCGGTTTCACCGCAAGTCTCAATGAGCAACACAACGACAGTTCCTTCTATGCTACAGCAGATTTCTGCAAGCTCAGTCCCCTAGCAGATAATACTGGTCTGAAACGCAACTATGTATGATAACAGTGATTTGCGCCTGTAGTGCCTGCCACTCTTATCTGTAGATGATGAGGAAAAACCGGTGGCAATATTACCTCTGTCCCTTCTTTCTCCCTTTATAGCGCCTTTTCAAGCATAGAGAGGATTTCGTGGTGGATCTTATTCATTCCCTACTTTTTTTCTAAGCGGTGTACAATAAAAACAACCGTGTGTCTTCCCACGCAGATACGCACGCATACATGCAAGCTGTGAATGAAGGACAGGTCTTGAAATTATTGCGTAATCCAAAGACTCATACTTGTCTAACGCTTTCTTTGATTTAAAGTTATGCTCTAATTTGACCACGTCACAGTGACGACTTGATTGTCGTAGTAATGCTGTAGGACTACTGAAATTCCATTTACAAGTAACAAAGGTTCCACTTCTAGTTTAGCCAAATTATTAGCCATTAAAAAGAATTGAAGTAATATCATCAGAAAAATAGTTCATACGAATGTTTACTAAGCCCCCATTGTCATCGAAGTGGTGGATGCGCAGTTTACAAAGGCGTATGATGAGAATTTTGCCCACTTGTCGAAACACTGTTCACTATTGCAACACACTTTTCACTTTGTTTCAATCCAACTTTATTTTCAACTATTATGGATGCAGTGAGACCAGAAAAAGGCACTATTTTGCGCACAAAAGACATCGGCGATACACATCAGGATCAACCAGGTCTGTCAGTCATCAAACAGCATGTACTAAATAAGGAATTTTATTATCACAACCAAATGCTCGTTCTGTGCTTCATTCTATTGGCTAAACAAACATTCGCACATGATTCTTTGTTGCTTAGTTCCCACCGTGTCTATGCTGCAATCATCTTGCTACTTTGACCAAATGCCAGCAATTTTGATTTGTAGCTATTGAGAGAGTTATGGATCCTATTTTAGATAAAAATGCACTGAAAACTGCATTAAATGCCTTATCATTTCATACATTGAAATGATTACTTGGAAATTCATAACCCATAATCCCACCTAAAAGCACAAATTAGGGCTTAACCATAAAATTAGCTAACTTTCATTCCTTTGGTGAACGATCCCTTTTTACTTAACCAGTGCTTGGATTGGTTCTACCTATTGATAATGGAATGGTTAAAAATTTGCAATTTTAAGTCATCGCTACCACGTCAATTTGTTTTGATTGTGATAATTAATGAAACATGATTGAAGCCTATATCTTTTTTCAAGGGAGAGCCTTTTGGTTTAGGTATTTTAGCGCACTTGGGTCTCACACACAAATAACTCGATATCGCAAACACTAGCAGCTTAGAGGGATTGAATGCATAAATCATGCATACATCTCCAGATTTGCACTTTACTAAGGATCCTGAAGTTCACCAATCAGCGGGCAGTTTAATGTGAAAACATCGGCTACTTTAATTCATTCTGCACTATTTTTTTTTGAACAAATGTTTAAATTATTAGCATAAAATAAAGTAGGGAAATACCTAAATTAAATGTTGCATGAACCAGCAAAGTTAATTAAATTTTTGCTCCATTCACTTCCTAGAAAAGTTTAATTTGTCAAAGAAGTCGATAAATAAATGAAGACTGATTTAAAAGATTTTTGATAATGTGCAAGAGTTTCCCGTCCAACCTTATTTGAGTATAACCTTTTGCAGAATAGCGTTTGTTTACTCCCTATTCTACAAGCATCTACTTGACAACGCCTGCCATTCAACTTGATTTTGACAACGGTCGAAGGTAGACCTCTGTGGCGCCATTGCAACCCCGATTTTCCATACTTACAAAAAAGCCACTTATTCATCTACTTGGTAAGTTATTTCACTTGCGTAACACTGCTGAGTTGGTGTAAAATGATGAACCTAAATGGGTGTCGCAGCTACGAATGTCGTACCAGTTTTTATCACAAAGAGGGGTCATCTTGCATTCACGTTAATCTATTAAGTTTTAGGTGAACAGAGCACTGGGACAAATAAAAGCCTTTCCAGATGCGGCTTGCCTTTTGCGCTTCTTATCGGAAACATCCCATTTGTTTTTATGGTTCCCCGATTTTCAAAAAAAAGAAAAGACAGAATGCATACAATATTGAGGATCTGTTAAAGGACATAAGTAGATATAATTCATTTTTGGCTTAGAGGGGTACATCATCAGATGCGGCTTTGGGCAGTACAGGTCTTTGACTTTTTACCGCACCTATAAACCTTAAAGGCTGGTAAAATCGCCATCAGGAACTTATCTGGCATTTAAGTAGATGGATATGTTCCAATTGAACATTCGAAAAAGTTTATCTTTTTCACCCAAAAAAGTCTACACAATCAGTTTCACTACCGCCACACTTTCCTTTGAAGTCTACCTACTAATTCAATCTTTAAACGCAAATGATATTACGCGCGGGAGGCACTTTTTAGTACACGAATCTGCCTATCAGAGTAATCACTAAAGAATGCTGCAAGGGGTAAGCTCTAGAAATACGTCTCACATTCCCCTAGATACTTCGTGTTTCAATTGCGAAACACACGTCAATTGAGGATTCCTGCCATCATATTACCGCCGAACGTGCTTAAAGCATATTTGCTACTTGTCTTTTAGCCGAATCCTTTTGCATGAAGCTTAGATGTTCCATTGGTCCTCTTTGGTAATGTTGTTTTGTCGATAAAAGTTAAACTTCGAAGGCATAAGGGTTTTGATTTTTGGTCCATTTCGATTGATGGAGTGAATCGCATTAAATTTTGTATAAATTGTAGGAATTACATACTGGAAAATGTGAAATGTTGCAGCAACTTCTACGGCTTGTTTTTTTTTGCAGAGCAGAAAGGGGAAAATATCCTTGTCAGCCTAACTGATTTATTTGCTTTTAATACCTGCTTAAAATGGACACATGAATTAATTAGTTTAAATAACCACATTTCACTTTCTCAACTGAATGAGAAGCAATATTCCAAAGCATTAATGATGTAGCACTGAATATACTTCCGATGTTACTTTTAAATGCAGTGAATTGCGAATTGTGAACAAAAAACGTGATTTGGAATGTTACATCAAGCAATAGGAAGTGTTTCCAAATATTTTGTATAAGGCGTCAGTATTGGTGAGCGAAACATTTTTCCCCTTTGTCGAATAGCGATGCGGTCTAATCTAGAGCACGTCCATGTGATCAGACCACGATCTGCCTAATTGTAGCATTCCATTTTAGCTTCTGACAAACAACCAAAATTAGCATTTGTTGCATGACGGGTCGTACTGAGTAACTGCAAGTTTTAATCACATTGAGACTGCATGCTTTGCTGGTCACATAATACCCACCGTTCAATTTCTGGCCACGTAATTAGCGACCCACAACAGACGGAGTTCTAAAATTAGTCTGCTTTAAAAGACTGTGTACCGCTATCGCTGATTGAGGTAAAATGTGAACAATTCACTGCCGAAGGACCTGAATTTAAAGCATTACGTATATTTGTGCCCTATTTGGGACTCGAGAAGGAAACCACTTCAAGTTATATTCAGTGTAATTAGTCAAAGCCAAAATGTGTGCTTAAAGTGCTTTAAGGCACTTCAACTTTTTCTGTCAAAAAATGACCCTAGTTACATCAAGCTACAGTTGATAGCAAAACCTGCTATTCCGAACGGTGATAAAATGAAAAATTCTTTCTTAGCGCTAAACACAACAAAGATTTACTATTTAACATGGTGAGTTTTTTAAAAACCATACAAAAGAAACTCAACATGTTTAAAATTCATTATAAAGCATACCTTAGCTCTTCCCGTGCATAAATTTACACAATGGATCATGTAGTAAAAGGAACCTGTCATACATGGACGAGCGATTGTCAAGCGTAAACTAAAGTGGAGCTTGAAATGCTGCCTTGATGCGTCCATTCACCAAGTGCCCATACTTTTTGTTATTTCGTGCACAGTCGAGATCAGTGGGTTAATTCATGTATGTAATGACGACCAGTACTTTTTTTAAATCAAACATATTTCCACATTGTCTATCGAACAATTTCAGCTTTAGTTCAAATACATCAAGCTTTATCTATATGTGTTTAGGATTATTGCGCCTTCGCTTATGTATGACCCACCAATTAGATCTAAAAGAAGTGTTTCCCCACCTCAGTGTTACTAAAAAAATGAGCCTTCAGAAAAGCACTTGCCTAAACTTAATTTTATGGATTAGAGGGAGATAGAGAGAAAAGGAAGGCTCTGCCGCACTCAGTCGTTTTGATCGTGATTGTGGTAAGAATGGGAGAGATTGAAAAAAAAAACGGAAAGGGATTTACGTTAAGGTAAACAGGGAAATAGGCATTGTCTCAAAGATGATTAGGCACCTAAACTACAAAATTAATCTGTCCAAATTTGACAAAAAACAAATTTATACGAATGGGTTGTAAAACTAAGCCTTTTTAATGAACTAAATAAGCTGTAAATGGGAGACTCACTAATAAAGACGGTATTTTCTCTAAACTACGTGAATAAACCTACTTATTCATGCAATTCTACTTTATCTGAGTGCTATGAAACTTTGATTATCTTGTCTTTCATGCATATTTATTTCCCGTGACAAAACTTAGTACTGTTGGATTTTGAGCATTGCCATAGAGACCGGTGTGACTGATTGAAACCGGAAGTAACCTTTGTTGTACCTGTTCACTTTCCTGTAGCTGCAATATGACGATTTTACTCGTAAGCTGGTCTTCAGATCATTGTGTTCCCTTTCGTCCTGTAAATTGAATGATACTTTTAAAGTAATACCAGGTTGTGTCCTCACCTAAACCTTGGCATTTAAAAAAGAATTCGCAGACTACAGACAAAGGCCAAAATTTTCGAATGACGCTGATTGGGGAAAGGGCAGTGTGTGCACGAATGCGAAAAGTCCCTTTGAAAAATGCTGCTCGACTGTAATATCTTATTAATTTCATTGAAGCTTTCATCGCGGCTCAACACAAATACTCGAATAAAAAGTTCTTTTTTCCTTATCTTCTCTTTTGAAGGCAAATGAACGTGCGAAACCTATTATTTCACGAAAAAAATATTGAATATGCAAAATACCGTAATGCTTTAGAACCAGCATTACAACACATTCCATTATTTACTTCTTGGACAAACTTGTATTCCTCCTTGATTCACGAAAGCATAATTAAACTCCATGTACACGCTTCGTATCCACCAAAAAATGCTTTGTTCTCATCGGGAATTACTGGTTAGGGGGTATTTGTCAAATTCATAGTATCTATATTACGAATGTATAAAAAAATGCATAAAATAAAATACAAGCTTACTATTTCCATCAGAAAATTAACCCAGTCCTTTCACACTGTGATTGCAAATTCTTTTTTTTAAGCATTGAGTTAGTGGGGTCCTGCTGGACGAGACCAAAGCAAATTAATGAGAGATAAAGGGCCTCCGCTTGGGTGCATGTGTGAGTGCAGGATTGTCAGCAGTCGCAAATGACACCTACAAATCCACAGCTACTTTTCTCGATGTTGCCCGGGCGCCCCGCAGGAACGCTCAATGATCGCATGTGCGCATGAGTGCTTTGAGGGAGGGCTCGAGGGCAAACCCACCGCTTTCATACCTCCTGCACACTCCCCGTCAGTACGTAGGCAGAACCGCTCAGGGCTGCAAGCCTCCAATCCCCAAGCTCATCTCGATTTTCATTTAATAGTTGCTAAACATCGCCCTCTATTCTTACCTTCATAAATTCCTTCAAATATTTCCTTTTCCAAAACTTTTTTTGATTTCCTTTTTAGATATGTTTTCCGAAGGCATCTTACCTTAACAAGCAATAACAATGGAGTATTTAATCCCTGTTCTACATATTCTATATTGTTTATTTTATATCAGTTGAGGTTTGATGTATTGTTTGGCTTTGAAGGTTTCTTAATTTTTAGTTTGTGTTGTTAACAAGGTGTTGATGCTATCTCATCACTTAGTTGCATACGAGTTTGCAGTGCAAAACCTCAATTCATTCCTTAAATCTAGCTAAAAATAATTTCGTATAAACTAAGTAATTAAAGTCTAATGTCATATTATCATGTACACTTCGAATTTGCATAATTGTGCCATGCAACGATAACAGGAGGCAGAGAATACTGACTTTGGCCGAGCAATAATTCGGGAGAAGATCTTGAGAGGGCTCGAAAGTTATAAATAAAAAACAACTGAATATGTTGGTAAAAACGCCCGATTATTACCTATTAAAATAAGGTGTATGGATCAGTCAATTTACTACATTTAGACAAAGACTTAAAATGGCAGAAACTAAGAGTTGTATTTTAACCATATTTGGATACGCTATTTAGGCACTGATTAATTTCTAAGATAATAAAACTTTATTTTGAGAATCAGTAATAAGAAGCTCGTCTCATTAAAACACATCTACTGTCCGACTGGTCTTAGTCGTATTCACAGGCATGACAACGCCTTCCACCCCACCTTATATCCAGGTTCTTTGGGTTTTCTCCCTTCCTCAGAGCTCTACCTCTGCTAGTCGCTGCGCAGCTATGAGACGCCTCATTGCTTTGCCACTCCTTTTGACACCTAATTTTTGAATTAGAACGGCTTTGTACGTCTTCTTAATGGGCTTACCAACCGATCTAAATGTTTGTGCAAACATTAGGTCAACTTCATTGTGTCACGCAGAAGTCTCCAACCGTGAAAACGATGTCCATTACTGCGTGTTTTCATAGGAGTGCTACTAAAATTTGTAAGTAGAAGTTATTTATTTAACACTAACTTGTCATCTGTTAATGCCTAGTGGTTGAAGTGGAAACAGGACTCTTGAGTCCCACTTTTAAGGTTTAATCAGGCATTTTATAAAGTTCTCATAGCTGCAGCTTGTTGAATTCTCCCCTCAGGTAATTACCAATGATGAATGCCTTGTTGAAGTGATGTAGTTGGTAAAAAACATTACAGTAGTGCCAAAACTGATAGTTAGCTTACCATCTTGTAATTAAACACGTAGGGCATAGTTTGAGAAGTTTGCAAGTTTTAACACTAATTGAAGAAGTCAAAGGTGCAGACATGTACACAAGTGATAGCAAAACGAGAGCATTTATGGTTTTCAAGTGCACTGTGAATTCCCAAAATATTTTACTAAATAGTTCCCTTTAGGTATTTTCATGAAGCCTTGTGGATAAAAGGATTAAAAATTATGAAACTTAATTGTAAAAAATATACTAATGATTGCACGCCTAATGTTTCCTACCATTTAATCATGATTTAATTCATCAAGGCATCCATTGCCTTCATCCGATGCGTTCATGTGATGATGAGTTGGTTCGGCTTTTCAATGCAAATTCATTCGAAGCTGTAGCGACTGTTGACAAACCGGTGTAATTTAAGCACACCCGGAGAATGCTGAAATGGTTTTGCATCCATTTCGTATTTTTGTGCAATACAAGAGATACTTGCACCTTACCCCTCGCAAATTTGTTAAGACAACTTCAAAAGAAAGAGATCGAAAATTTGTTCTTCAAAAAAGGTTTGGAAAAATCACCCTATTTCTATTTAACAAAATTCAAAATAGATTTGATTGACTTAGAACACCATGCTGATGACAGCCGAAACCTAGATATGCTTGTTTCAGATGAGAACTTAAATAAACGAATTCAAATAGCGTATTTTATACTTTAAAATAGGGATGTACCCAACTATCATCTTTTGCTTGTACCTCTTTTAACTCTAAAATCGCCTATCGAAGGCAAACGGGCAAACTCACAAACGCTTACGTAAGTTTCTCTCTTGATACGAAGAAAATGTGATAGTGACCATTCTTGAAATAGGGCAGCAATTTAATTTGATGCAAAAACGGCTCCACCACACACGACGTTTGATGTGGTTCAATTATTCAAAGCGCTGACTGCTACATTTGGCTGCATGAGGAACGCAGTCCAACATAGATATGCCAAATACCTCCTATGAAGGGAAAATAAAGAAGATGCCGCTTCCTTTGTTGGTATCTAAAGCCTACAATTGTGCTGTTTTTGCCTACATTAGGATGTAGTGATAAATGTTTTCGTTGGCACTTCCTCTACTTTGCCGCAATTTTGCAGTATATTAGTACTTTTGAATTTTTACATACTACCTTACCCTAACTCGGAGACTCGACGAGCATTATCGATATAATCTTCCTTATCTGGCATTTCGTATTCGTTATCCATCTATCCATGATTGCGTGAGTTAATCAGAGTCAAGGAAAGCTGCACTACCAGCAACCGTAAACTGAATGAATATGAGTTCAAGTACTCACCACTTGAAATGCCGAAATAGCATAATATTTTTTTGTAAGCACAAAAAGGAAAAATTTATAACTTGCGGCTCACAAGGAGCCTAAGCAACATGCTCATATTAACGATTAAAGGCGGAAATCTCTAGCAGGACAGGAGAGGGCATCCAAAATAAATGTGAGCCCCTTCTAAAAATTTGTAGTCTAGAATGCCATCTTTCAAACATCACTTATAGATTTGCATTGATGAGAAGCCGTGTTGAACTATTTAACCTTTTCTAACTACCATTTAGGTACTTTGTATTAGGATAAAGCAACTGTGGCAGCCATTCTTCGCCTCAACAAAAATTGCATTCCAATAAGGTTTGGCAATATGTGCAATTCACTTTCGATGGTCCGATGATTCCAAGCCTCCCAAACAACCATAATGTGCACGCTGAAACAATATATACTATTGTTGGGCTAATTTGGGCTGCAAAATTACATTGTGATGTGGTTTGTGTGGACGAGTATGATAACAAAATCATATTCGTTTACGTGATGCCAAACTTGCGTTATTAAATAAATAAAGGTTTTAAGGTAAGTTATTGTGAAAATGCCCAACGAAATGGTGAGACTTCATTTTAACACTCTACTTCAAATAATTCTATCGATAGGAGATGGTCGGAATTTGGTCATATTTTCGGTCTCATGAAGTGACATCTCGTCCACTCATTCGGGATTTTTTTGTTTATCATTTCATCAAGCTAAACAACGTGATTTCCCCCACCATAAAAACGGCCTCATGAACGCTACTTGCGATTCGTCGATTTCTTCTTAGTGTCGGTCAGTTTACTCCAAGTTCGATGTAACCCAAGTATGACTAGGCCTAGAGAGGGTAAAAGTGATAACCTGAGCGAGGATACTTATTTTGTCACCGAAGGACAGCCATATTCTTGTAATTTGAGGGCTAACATTGAAGCCCGATGCCCAAATTTCTAGGGGTTTTGCGCATGAAATTGTATTCCAAGTTGTTCCTCCTTCATTGAATACTTGATGTGATTTATATGTGCTTGAAGGTTGTCAACTTTGTAAGTCCTTCAAGAATACATCCCACAGTTGAACCAAATAATGCTCGATTAGAAAAAAAAGTGGTTTGACCAAAAAGTATTTTATTGAACTAGTTATTTAGGTTAGATGCCAGAATATGATAGTTGTCGTTCTGGAGGTATCCGCTGCCACATATAAAAGGGATGAAATTGTGATTTGGCCAGGAAGTGCGAATGATTCATCAATTTATTATACATTACAAAATTTATTCCCCAAGCGAAGAATGATCAAAATGCTCTGACTCTGAAACTTATTCATTAAAAGTCTAAAACAATATTTGTCATTTTTAGCTATCGTTAGCATGATTAAGTCCAAGACTACATGTCCCAACTTCTGCATTTGAAGTCGCTTACTAACTAGGGGTAAAAGCGAGATCGCCGGCTTTTTGAACTGAAACCCCCATAAAAGTAAATTCGCCGATAATTAACATCCAACCACTCAGCGTTGCACATTAAAAGCTTCTCATATTGCACATTAGAATATATAGGATCATATGAAGTATAAGTTAAACATGAGTGAATTCACTGAAAAAGTGCCATTAGGTCAATTCTTGAGGGTAAATGAAAATACACGACAGAAGCGTGGGGAAAATACAAAATGACGATCGAAATGCCCACGTGATTGAGGCCTCTTCATCATTGAGATAGCGTTTGAATTCGATTACACTTCATGGGATTACTTTCAACCTGCATCTCTAAAATGATGCAACATAATAAGCAGGAATGGGATGCAAAAAAAGGAACAAAATAAATCAGTTCTCGGGACAGCATCCGTAAAAAGGACAAATTGCACCTGCATTAATTTTTAAAAGCACCATGCATATTGCACACTTATCTCCATTGTAAAACCAGGTTAATATTTATTTAGCTTAAGTAGAATTCTAACCATCTCTACGCAATAAGTCTTCCGTTATTTCGAGCGTTAAAAACCAATTGCTTATCGTCAACTTAGTAAAGCCACATTTTCTTAAGGATTGGCAGAAGTAAGAGAGGTAACATGGGACAATTCCACACGAGAAGTTCGGCACGCAATCCAACCAGCTAACGGCATCCCGTGAAGATCACGTGATCACGTCCACTAAACAAATTTGCTACTTACATCAAAAGCGGTCCAGCAAACAGCTAAATTGGCCAACGTAAAGGAAACATACATAGGCTCAGCCTGCTCGTTCCCCTTCAGATGCTGAATTTCTTCCCAAACAAGAACCTTAAGACGCTCCTTTGGAAGATCGTCTGCTTCGTGTGTAAACGGATGGGGACATGTCGGCTTTAAAGGTAAAAGTAAACAAGTAATTAACAGTCCATTTAGCCTGGACAGTGTTATCAGTTCCCCCAGCCTTTCAAAACATATGGTTTTGTAAAAAACGTGAGCTTCTCACAGCAAAGATTTGTATTTTACACAATACAAGCATGGTCAAAGGCAGACACCGTGGGCGGGGAAAATTAATCAATTTGCTGAAAAGCTATACTCCATTAGGGGTAGACCGAAACACGAAGCATGCGAAAGAAGCGACCCAATCGGAAGTACGTGCGACCAAAGAATTGAATATACACATATGAAGGCGAAAACGCATACAGTTAGATAAATAGTGTATTCAGGTAAGAAGGCCTCTTACCTTTCATAGCCTTAAATCCGTCTACCAAGTTCACAGAAAATGGTTACACTTGCTTCAGTTATTTTTGTAAGGTTTAAGAACGCATTATAATGAAAGTACAACAATTGTTGGCGTTGGCAACTCTTCATACGACAATGCTGAAATCCTGGGCATAAAAGGCACATGCGCTTAAACAAAGCACAAGTTAAGCAGTTTATTACTAGCACCCTTAGCTACTTCAAAATCCACTCAATAAAATAGCGTCGAATGTATGAAACTTTCGCAGAAAAAGTGCATGTTTTGCGCTGGTGAAACAATCAAAAATAATAACTTAGTTCCAGATCAGTATATTCAGAGAATGGCTAGTTTGTAGGAATTTTTACGTGAGAACAATTCTTACAGACGAGAGAGGGTCTTGATGAAAGCAACTTTAAACTTTGGGTTACGTTTCTAAAAGCTTATTCGTTTTTTCAGACAACGCACCTCGTCAGATGGATCGTAGTATTGTGCCAGGTAAGGATGGGCAAGTGCTTCTTCCACCGTTATTCGACGCGAGGGAGCGAAACAAAGCAAACGATCAAGCAGATCCAACCCTGGAAATAAAAAATCAGTATTCTAATTTATCTTAGCCAATAGATACCGGAAGTGCCACGACAAAATCGGGACGTAATAAAAACTACAGTAATGTCTTGTGCAATTTATAAGTTGAAAAATAATGCCACGCAAGCGCCAACGTGTTTACACATTGATTAGAGGGCTTGCATTCAAAGGCTCGAACATCTTGTAATATTTTTTTTTCATGTGGAAAATTCAAATGTATTTCTCACCATCAAACAGGGCGAAAATTGCTTTCATTCAGGCCATCGCGAATCGTTAAATAGGTGCAGCCTATCAAAACGGTCACCACTGTGAAAGAGATACCCAATTGATAGATATCAACATAAAAAATTACATTTACAGTGACAATCTCCATGCCATTCCAAATTTTACTACGAACTTCTCCCTCAATTTTTGTCGGATCGAACCTCTCTCCCTTAGGTTAGCACCTTTTCTTCTTAATAAAATGACACCGCACCACCGCAATGAAGTCTCGAAAGCATGGAAAGGTATCACAACTGCTGCTGTCCTTCTAAATCCAATTGGAACAGTTGCTATAAATATGAGTAGAATGGCCACAAAAGTAAGGAAGACCAATATTCGAACCCTTTTAAAAAAAGGAGCTGCACACGAATTGCCATAATCTACTTGACACGCCCATTGTTTAACATAAACAAATCAACAAAGAGCATAGTCCATGTCACTTGTTTTGCAGAAGCTAGCATTAATTAATAGCAAAAGCAATTCATACGTTGGAAAGCATAATAGTTGGCGAAATTTTAAGCGGAAATGCAGGAAGGAAAATGACGAACACAGATTTACTCAATGGCTCGGCCAGGGTTAAATCATTATACGTACCCTTTGGGTCTGCAAATGGGAAGAGTTGCTGCCAGGGTATTTTTTTCCGTTTTGGCAACTGCTCTAGGTACGTTCTAGCCTAAAAAAATAACAAATCATAAAGCAAACTTTCAACGATTTGATGAAATGGACATAGAACTACGTTGGTACGGCGACAATTTCAGCAGATTAGCTGCGGGCCTAGACCATCTCATGCAATGCAACCCAAATTGCGCCTACGGATGAAAACACTTCATGACGCAGTTCCCAAAAACCACAAATCCCATAAGGTTTAAAACCTCAAGTGAACTTCAACCACCTTTCTTTGCACTCCAGGCATTTCTGTCTCTCAAACATCGCAGTTAGCTTGTATCCTTCCAGCCTTGATAGCAATTCAACTCAACCACATTCCCACCGTAACCGCACTTAAGTTACAAGTTGGAAATTGAAGAAATTTTTTTACCTTCAAAGTGTAAGGTTTCTTGGTCATTCCTGACTATTACTCGATCAAGAAACTCAGAATAACCTGCCCAAACATTAACGCAACATTCGAACAACATAAATCTTCCCATATTTACTGAATCGAACAGTATTTCAGACTGCTTGCTATCTATGAAGATAGGAAGTTAGGCTCACCCTTAACGCGAGATTTCTCATTTCCGAAATCCCTCACAGGGAAAATAGTAGTTTGAAAACCATATATATTTAGAGACCAATCTTCCCACATTTTTTGCAAAAAAAGCGCAATTAAATTACCTATGATTATAATAATCCCATGAAGTTCCTATATTTAAACCTTGAAAATAGACAGCTTACGGAATGGTTTTGATCAACGGAAATGTCATTTTACGGACTCGAAACCACGCTAAGTCAAACTGGGTGACACAAACATCTGATTCACAAAAGCATGTTAAGTTACATTTGGCTTTTGACTGTCCATCCTTCCACAGTTCTGTACGGTATACTTTCTCAGCGTTTAAATGAACCCCACGGGGTGTGAATTGAGACTCCTAGTTTGTGTTTTTTAGATACCATTATTAGCATTTAAAGCTCCAAATGTGGCTTATTATTAATAGTGATATGAGGAAAGAAGCAACTCATGTTCATATGAAAAGATGAGTTGGAAAACACGGGAAAATACCTAACTTTATCTGTGATTAGGTATGCCAGATTGGCATGGATTTCGAAAGAAAAGAACAGAGATATGCTATAACACAAGCGAAGTTTCATTTCCAAGCACTCAAATACATAGTGGAAACAAGCTAGAGACCGAGCCATAGCCCAGATGTAGGCTAGCACTTAAATTCCGTTTTCCTCCAGTGGAATTTGATTACTTATTATTATTTCAAAAGTACCATCATGTGCATTCCTTAGTTAAAATAGTTCGGCTTTACTCTCTCCTTAAAAACCAATTCATTTTCTACAGAAATAATAAAATTATCAATTTTTCCCCTTTCCTCATGAGCATCACGTGATGAACACTCACACTTGTTTAACTGCTCTGGTAACAAATTTCGCAGACCTTTTAGTGACTCCAGCATTGGATATTAGCGGCGACTCTGAGTTTTACGAGTCAAATACTTTCGGTGTTCATTACCTAGGCGTATTTACGGAGGCGAATTATGCATCCACATGGCGTCATCAAACTATGCTCCCGCGTTTTCTGGTGTCTATTTCACTGTTCTTTAATATCGCAAAAAACCTCAACAGTTATGAAACGAACAAACCATTTGTTTCTCGGATAAAAACTGCATGCAGTTGTAGACTCGTTATGTACATGGAAAGATAGAGCCAAACCAATAGCCCGACTTGAATGTAGTGGTGACAAAATTACGGCCATTAAAGTGCACATAAGCAGAGGCAAGCCATACGGAATTTAGAGAATACCAAATAACCAACGCATGAATGGATTAGAGCATCTGATCTCCTTATAAAAGAGGTGACTTTTCTAGACAAACTGAGTACCTCTCATTCTCATCAAGATTAAATGCAAGATTGAGTTGGTTATCTCAAAGCAGTTGATGACGGTTACCACAATTAGCACCGCCTTCGTTCACAGCTATGCCATCACCTACGGAAACGTCTGCTTGGGAGGATTTTTCGAATTTTATTTTTGATTTCCATGGTTTAGCAGTTTGCTACCATATTCAAGTAAATTGGTTTTCAAACAACGCTAGGACTTTATCAAAGATTACTCTAGAGAGCGTGGGAAAATGGTTTGTCTAGTTTACCGAAGCAATTAAAGAAAACGGAGACTGGGACACTGGTTCCAGGATTGGCGTTCCTTACGTTTCGTGGAAGACATCCAATTTGAAGCATGTGATCTATTTCTATTGCTTTCGTGTCTTAGCAGCCTAATTATGACTTGTTAAAGGTTATTCTAGTAGCCAACCTATGAAACAAGAGTATTTTATTAGTATAAAGGGTATGTTTTTCGCCATAACTTCGTTCCAAAATGCCAGTTTCACAAGCAACTTCAAGGTTATACTGTAACCGTTAAACTCAAGAAAGTGACTTTAAGTTTGACCCACCTTTGTGTTACTTATGGAGTTGATGTCCTCTTGGTGAGGCGAACCAAGAACCTCAAGAATCATCTTCAACTGGTCAATATCTAGAATTGTGGTAAGGTGCATTACACAACCTCATTTCTCCTTTGCTCCTACTGAACTTACTTCAGAAGAAACGAGGACTTCGCTCTCTCGCACAGGGACAACAGTAGTGAATCAAGTTACCATTAAGCTTTAAACATTTCATCTGAGTCTAGACTTTCCTTCGTAATTTTATTTGTATAAACACAAGAACTCTCACACCTAATAACACCTTCGGAGTAAAATATAATCAAAGTTCAGCACTGTTACGAAGCATCTGTTTTATTGCGAAAAAGGAGGAAACTAGAAATCAAATCAAATTATAAATCAATTTGGAGATTATTAGGGACTCTACTCTACTTCCCCGTGATAGCCGCATATAAGGTGATATGAATAAATAAGAAACCCAAGTTTCATATCTATATAGTGCCTTAAAAATGGCAAATATTTGTGCTAGGTGCATGACTTTTAAAATTCACCTAATGCATTACAACTACCTTATAATGGGAATCTCACAAAGGAGCTTGTAGTACACCAAATATTGCATACCTTGACTGGAGGAAAAAATGCACCTATGGTAGTTCAAATGCACAAGATATGCCTAAAGGAATAAAAGGATACAATGTTTCCCCGGAAAAAGAACGCGGTTGCTATACATCTCGGCTAGGATGCAACCGATGGACCAGAGGTCGATGGCTTTGGTGTAGACTTTCGATGTGAGCATAATTTCTGGCGCACGGTACCAGCGAGTGGCCACGTACTCAGTCAGCAATCCAGCCTGATCGCATTGGGGATCGGCAATTCGTGCGAGCCCAAAATCACATATCTTGAATAACAACGTTTAGAAAGAAGTCATTACACGACGCACCTACGCTATAGTCAAAACTAACTACCACAGGAAACTACTGTAGACCTACTCAAGGGTGTATTTTAGGAGGGAATCAGGGACCTTAGCCATCATTATACGTCAGTTAAGGTCGGAATTAGGATATGTTTATATACAAAAGCAAAAAGGGCTCAAAACAATCTGACACGAAGGGGACGGTAAAAGAAAGCTCAAAGGTAAAATCAACTTGTTTTTGTTTTATAAATGAGGCTGCTGATTCCAAACATTTCGTATGCATTGAACCTGTAATTAGTTTGAGCATTCGCATCGCACACCTAAAATTTTATTAATTCAATACCAAATTTGAGTGTAGCTACTCACCAATATATGCTACATAGGTGTGAATTCAAGGCAATAAACCTACCCGCAAATCACACATTCGATTCAAAAGTATATTACTTGGCTTCAAATCTCGGTGCAAAACGTTCGCGGAATGTATGTACTTCAAGCCTAAAGTAAACTCAAAAAAGATCAAGTTACCTCGAAGCATTTGGTAAAGGAAGTAACAGGTGTGCTCGCGACTCAACTGCTGTACTTTTAAAAACTTATAAAGATCAGTTTCCATGTATTTTTCCACAATGTAACTAGAAATCACAAGAAAAGTGCCCTTACACTTCCTTCATGTCCTCAAAATTTGACGTTGTAAAAACATCGTACAGTGGAATAATCTAAGAAATACCAGAAAAACAAATTAAAACATACGTTCTCGTGGTCTAAACGACTAAGGATTCGAATCTCCCGATAGGTACGTTGACAATATGTTTGGTGCTCAAATGGTGTGATTCTCTTAATGGCAACCCTCTCATTGCGCTGATGATCAAATGCAGAACTGCGAAACTGGGGTTGTTCCTACAAGATTGGCTTACATAACCATTCCATAAGCGCCTTCACCAATGTAACTAAGATTTGTAAAACGCGGACCAATGTCGAACACCTGGCCCTTGATCGTATATGGATCAGAAATATCACCACTCATTATTGGTTGAATTAGAATAGCCAAGTTTATCAAGGTTACTTAGTCCAAAGGAATGACAATGTTGACAGCGTAATCAGCTCGAGGTCACCGCATAAGTAAAGGCACAATTGTTTAGTGAAATAAAACAATTTGCCTTAGTAATAGAGTGCGGCACAACTATAATAATTAGGCAGCTGACCGACCTAAATAGCCAATTAACAAATTAGATAAATTGTAGAAAATACAGTACGGCCTGCGTAATAAGAAGGCTCTCTTAAATAAAGGAACACAATATACAAACACAGGCAATAAGCCTTTAAGATTTTTGAAAACTTTTTTAATAGTTAATTATAATTTTAAGCGAGGCAACTCTGTCCATTAAAGTCAAGTTGGTGGGTCTATTTTTCGGCCCTGTGGTCGGGAAATTCGAGTGGAATACAGCTCACATCTAAGTAGTATGGGAAGGATTCACAAATATTTATAGCCCATAAAACGTTAGTGTCTGTTTTGACTTCAAGACTGGTTAATGTAAGCCAATCGCTGTTCAACTAAAGCTGATTTAAAAGTAAGGCGTTTGCTATTTAACATTCAGTTATAGTAAAAAGACTGCTTATGTGCTCCACTGTTGCACCTTCGACGGGTAAACTAGCCTTCGGGGCGTGCCTGAAGCTTCAGGCCCTACTATGTGCCAAATACATGCATAATTGGCCTGGATACTGTGCCTTCTTTTGTCTCTGACAAAGGCTAGATCACTACGCTATGCATAATGCTTACTTTTGTGCGAAGTTTTCACACAACAAAATCTATTTTTATGTCTGTAATTTTGGAGCTAAAGAAACACCAAGTTAGCACAACTTGTCAACCAAAAGGTAGAATGGTAGGTAAAGGCTCTTTGTTCATTAGTCCTTACTAATGTGCCTGAGGAATCGAGATTAATGAGGAGTCAGAGTCTGTTTCCTCTTCAGGTGTCAATGACCTCCACTCTGCCATGAGAATAACAAATGCTTGTCTTTTTTAACTGGATTATTGTATTTAAATAAAACCGCCTCAAATACACTGCTTGCGAAGTGCAAAATGCAGGAGGACTTCGATTTTTTACTATTTATGTCACTTAGGGTTTCCCCTGAAAAACAGATACATAATGTAATATCTTATACTTATAGTGCATAAGCTTGTAACCAAAATTAGGGTAGTAAGACTAAGGCTCGTCAGAATATCTGAAACCTATGTGTTATTCACTTACTTTTCACGGTTTTTATCAACCTTAACTTCTACTTCTGCCAGTACGTTGCTTGAGCTTAGTGTTTCCAATTGCATTTAACTTTAGTTTTAGAATGCCTTTTTCGCTTAAGCGTTTTCTTAGTACATCTTGTAGTTATACATGCCTTTCACTTCTACCCAGCTTGTTTAACTTGTTCAACTTGGGTATTTTTCATCATAGTCTTATGAAATCAAGAAAATGAATGTCTATCTGTTGGTCAGTCGCGCTGCTAGCCTTTGCTGATGATTGCAGACTAAACGGTAAATGATTTGGCTAAATTTTTTGGTAATCATTTGGCGGCCAAAGCGCGCTATACCTCTTTTATGGTGCTAATTTTTGTCATTTAACAATATTGTTGCTTGCATCTGTAACGTGCGTACACGTTCGTCGTCTTTTTGTCGTATTTTTTTGGGGAATACCATAACTTTTTAAAGAAGCCCTCACGGTTGGTGAGTTTCCTCGGATTCTCGAGAAAATATCAGAACTGTCAGTACGTAGCTAGCATTGCGTTTTGACTGTCAACTCATTTTCTGTATTTGGGATTAATCTTGACGAGGTCTTGCGTTTTGCAAATACATTTGCGACTAGCAAGCTTTGTTCTTGGTACATCGATTTACCATCACTTGTCCTATTTTCATAAACCGGAAGCTTTTTGTCATTGGGGTCATTCCCACTAGTGTAAAACGGCTTTAAGGTACTGTACTACGCACTTCAGAAGTTTGTATTTATTTTAAAGTGCTAAAAATAGTGAGAATAGCCCATTTTGCCCCTACTGTCTGTGATGAAAAATCAAATTTTCACCCCATTCAATTACCTCTGTTCTAAATTAGTTTCCCGATAATGATTCTATGCTTTTTGTGCTTTTAGCATTTATAACTGTGTAAATATTCGTTTTTTTTTGAGCATTATTTCCGACTAGAATCACTTTTTGAATTGATCAATTGAACAGTAGTCCTTTCGAACTGATTTATCTATTCAATGGCCAATCAAACCCATATTCCTTCCGAACTCTAATTTCGCCTGTGTCTTGTTTCACCTCGTGGTCATGGTTAATAATTCTGCACTGATGTTTTTTGTTGAAAAGGGCCGTTCCTGCGAACGGTTTCTTATATTTCTTCATTGTTGAAATCTGGCACCCAGGCCTCATTATGCATCTTTTAGCGAAGTCCAATGTCCTCAGATATAGCTAAGAGACAACGTACTGTGCCATCGACCAAGGCTTACGACTTTGTTTGGCGAAGACCGGTCCCCACTGCGCTTCGAGAAGGCTCTTACTTCGACCGCTATGAGGAGGTGCGTTTTTTTGTGCGTCGCTCCATCACTTTCTCCACCTTAAACCCTAGTTCTTCGACTTTGGTCAGCTCATTTACATGAAATGGTGTAAAACTGCTTCTTTCTATTGGTCATTATCGTATGTTAATTTTTACCGCTTTGACTTATGCGTCACCAGACTCGGGTTTTTCCACATGCGCACTGGGCTGTGCCATAGTTCGCACCAGTTCCACTCTACTCTCCCCCGTCTATGTAAACGAGTCGAGTGGTAGGGTGTTTGACTTGCTTTCATTCCACACGATTGCGGTGGGCAGAGTTCTGACCCCGGTGTTCCTTTATGCTAATTGTGTACGGGGTCACGCTCGCTTGACCTCTCATTCCTTTCAACTCTTTGATCTCCATTCTTTTAAGCAATAACGGTTAAGTTCCTCTTTAGACAGTCGTTTTGATGAATCGTTTGTATTGTTTGTGGTCCTGTAAGGTGTCGTGCCATATTATTACAAAGAGATGGGGTGATAGAATTGCTCTTGCCTTATTTTGTGTCTACTATGTTCTCCATTCACAGGTCCTTATGCTAAGCCGAATTTATGCATATGAGTTTTTATTTGAAGGATTATACTCTTCTTCGTCTGGACTTTTGTTTGATAGCCTCACTAAACTTTACCGCCCTGTTTGTGAAGAGGTCAGAAGTTCTAACGTGAACGATTAAGCATATCAATGGGCTACCGACTACCTACATCATCGTGATGACGATTGATCGGCTTTAATGTGATTGCTAAAGTTGAAGTCTTACCTGTGAAGCTTAACTGAAATATGGTGAGTATTTCATCGATTCGGTGCAATTATTCGCCGCCTATTTTGAAGGTGTTATTTTTCAATTTATTTTCTTAAGTATATGACAGTTCTATATTACAAAGATAAATAATCTTGTTATTCGACTGGATTTGATCCATACTTCATCCATCCTTGACTAAATGGTTCTGCTTCCTTAGTTCATCAGGGAATTGAGCATTTGAACACTCCATGTACCTGTACTGGTAGCATCTTTCTGACCTCATTGTGAATACATTGGAAACTATGTTAGACTGGTCAGAGGTGATCTGCTCCAGATTCTTATCGTCACTGTCAAATTACTCCCTAAATTCTGACTTTCGGTTTAACGGTAGTTTTAGGTCTGTAGGACCTGTTTTGCATCGGCACTTTTGCTGTTTACGTTGATGATTGTGTCTGGTTTATCTTGGTATTGATTCATGGGGTGTGGAACAACTTCAGTAGGTGTGTCCAGAAAGGCGGTAATCACCCAAAGCGTGTTTGATTCTTTGGCATCCAAGATTATGCGAACGTTGAGCCTCGTGTTTATCTGGATGACGTTCGCTATGCACACAATTACTCTTTTAGTCCTAAGGCTAACTGACCCGAAATCACTTTAAACTGGGGTCCTCCTATAATGACATTTTGCCCCAACAACACTCTCCTCATGGGTATGTCGACAGTAGTATCCCCAGTTAAACGCCTTAACCTTCGTCTCTCATTAGCTGTGCTTTTATTGTCATTGCGCATACAACACAGTGGTCTTTATACGTGAAGGAATTGAATGAATGACAAATGAATGTCGGGATATGTATTAACATACGTGTAGCTTGACGCCGCTATTGTGCCTAGTGGTGTATATATATATATATATATGTAGAAGCCCGTGGAAGTCGGGACTGGAATGCACAGCAGGCGAATAAGAGAGGGATCAGGTTTTGTTCCATATCAGCTCTTATATGTAGTTTCCCTTCTCCTCCTCTACCAGTCCGCCGCATGCCTTTGCATCGGAGCTTCCGTTGGTGTGTGAGCACACGCTCTCTCGTCAGGGAGCAACCTGACACGCTCATGGCGGTGTCACTCCCACTTTCACAACTGGCTGCTGTGTGCTCTGGCTTCTTCCTCAATTTAGTCCCCTTTTTCCCTTTCTTGCGCTTTGGTTTACACCAAAGCCGTGTCAGGGTGCATGTTTTTTTCCAAACCCGAAAGGGGTCTCTTATTTCTTCAGCATATTCCGTACTTTGGTCTCTTTTTCATAGATGTTTAACTATTGACTCCTCATAAGGTGTTCGGGCCATCAAGATTGCCTTTATCATAGGAATTCGATTGCCACAACGCGGCTTAACTGAGCATTTAATTATCCCGATGAGATGTTACGAGTTTCAAAATCAGAATAAGTGTGCATCTCATTCGTCATATAACCCTTTTTGACATGTATTTGGCTATGATTTCATCCACATACCCAGGAGTTCACTTTCCATTCGTCGTAGTCGTTTATAAAGTGGCGTAATTACTTCCGGTGACCGAACCAAATGAGCTCTTTTCACCATGGATTGCCATTTTCTTCCAGTATAATCTAACGCTTTGCATTCAAGTGTTCTTTGGTAACACTTATGACTGTTCAATAGATCAGCCAGAGTTTGTAGCTCTCGGCTCTAGTTCCAAAGTCTTTTCCGTTCATATACTCCCTATGGTTGTTATCCTTTCACACAAATTTTGAGGTTTGAACACTTCGCGGTTTTATCTTCTACTCGAACTGCCTTTGAGTTTCAATTCTCTCTCAGATTCGCTTTTTCTCTGCCAACAATTAAGCTATTACGGAATAGCCTTTCCTTCAAAAACATTTTGGTCGCGGTCGTTTTCTCGTTTTTTGTTCGTACTGAAGCGCTTTGGGATGCATTTTACTTCATATGCATCATTGTGAAACCTTTATTGGGACAGAGGAGACTAAATCCATTGTTGTCAACTTTTTCTCGCTCAGTTCCTTGTTTCAGTTTAATTACACTTTGATTGGACATCTTAGCGTTTTCTGGATTAAGCGGTTTTTGAGTATGAGGCCTACTGAGCCACGTTTGTCAGCAATCATATTTTCCGTTTTAGTGGTACTTTTATGCTTTGGTGCAGTACCGTTGTAGCCAATAATAGCCATTGCATAAAATAGACGCTTGATTGACATCTTCTGCAGACATCTGTCTCCATAATGATTTTCGAAATTTCATCGTTCTTTAAACCGTCTTTTTTTTCATTCAACATCTCATGCATGCCTTTGGTTTACTTTGTTTGGTCGTTAAAAAAATTGTGCAGACCAACAATGCCTAGCATGTAGTGATAGCTTCAATTGTTGTTATACTGATGCATCTCCTTTCGTTTGCAATCTTTCGGAGTCAATTCATATACCTTATGTCCTTTCCCAGTCAGCTTTTCCATTTTCAACCTCGTTTCCGACTTGCTCTTATTGTCTTCAGTGTATTGTCTGACTTTCAGGAAACCGGAGCATTGGAGCTCGGTTGCTTCTTGCGTGTGGATGAAGATGGTTTCTTCCTGTTCTGGAAAAGTGAAACTAATGTAAGTCGTTTCCTTCTACAGGAAGAGTCTAAAACCATTTGCATTAATTGCTAGGCTAATGACAGCTTCTATGATTGACTGAGGTCGCTTACAGTTTGTATTCGGTGTAGAGCTGAGATTTCATAGTCAAGTCCCCTATGGATGGCTAAATCGTCCCTGCCTTTAGAAGCATTTGGATGACCTTGAGAACCCAAATGTCCCACATTCCCTCTGCATGCGTATGACCAATGCTTCGAGTTTTTCAATTATTATTGGTTCATTGTTACCCTTTCGCAGTGGTTTAAACACGGTTACGACCTCTTTACGTGACATTGACCCCACTTGGCTAGTGTTTGAAATGAAAAAAAATTATTTATATTGGCTATTAAGTAAGGGTAGAACTTTTCTGTCAGACAAGTGTCAAAACCTTCATCGGTGAAAAATTGGTGTCGCTGACATTTCCCGTTTTGGCGAAGGCACGGAGTTCTTCGTTTACATCACATGAAGCCAATTTCTCTGTTAGCAACAAATTATTTGTTGTTTGATTTTGAATGAATTCCGTTTGCATAGTACCCTATTAGTGCTTGTGTTCCAGTTACTAATTTTTATGACGGTATTCTGTGGAATTTCATTTACTCCGGTGTTTTCAGGCCATGCCGATGCCGTTATGGGTATTTGAAAAGACAAAATGTCTTTAAACAGTTCTCAAAGTTTTATTGCAATATCTCATCCATTATTATTTTAAAATCCGTATGGTTAAATGCAGCTTCTACCAACTTTTCAAATTTACGTTCCGGATTTTTTTTTAAATTCATTTTTTTAGGAGGGTCAGGTTCTAGAGCTTTCGCAGGTCAGCGATGTCCGACAAGGCACAAAACCCAAGGTATACCGGCTCTATTAATTTTTTGTTTGAGAATCGGTTTCGCAGACTCCGTTTTGAAATTAATTCGAAATTTGTAACAGCAAAATTCGAGTGTTTTGCAGCTTCCTTTGGGTTGCATTTCCTTTCTCACCCACAAGCACTTGTGGTTTGCATTTTCTGATCATCGCTTTTACATCTGCTTTAGTCTTTTCTTTCTTCACCCACACGCTACATCCTTAATCTCTCTCACTTCAAAAATGTCCTCAGCATTGTAAAGCCCAGTTCGCTTGAATTGTTTGCCGTTTCACTAAGCCTTTGTGCTTTGCATTTGAATTGGCGTCCCCGCAGTCTTGGTGATCTCTAAAATACACTTGCCCCCATGAATAGGCGATGGCTTCTTAGGCTATTACCGCGGACTCCGAGCATACACTTTGTGGATGCCTTTGAAGACGTTTTTGCTGCTCCCAATTGACTAACGAAGTTACCTATCCATAGTGGTTATGCTTGTGTGAAGCGTAAACTTTGTTATGCCATAAATTCCACCAAAATTAAACTTTAACGGAGGTGTTGGAGTTGGTTTGTGCACTTTCAACACCTTGTTGTGCTATTTCGATCACCACTTCACATTTAAGCGGGGGCATCAATGCACAACATATAATGCGTTTAACTTTTTCAGCGGGATCCATTGCAGCGTTTCTTCCGCCTCATGCTTTGGTGTTATTTTGCGCATCGACTATACTGAGTTCTCTGAACGTCCTTGCTCTTCAATTTACTACAGCTTTTACAGATTCTATCCCGAAAGTGTTTTTTTCTTTCACTCCTTGTAATCGTTAAGTCGTGGGTCTTGTTTTCTTTCCCTTATTGCTTTTGAATTCTTATCGACTATCTCTAGTGCCTCATTCATTTACAGAACGCTGAATGATAGATGCACTATTTCTTTATCCGGACAAGATTGGTATGTGTGATGTCCACTTAGCGAAAGCGCTATATCAGATTACATCGTGTGATGGTACTGGGCGCTACTTTGACACATTCGCTCCCTGTGACGTGTGAACTACACGAATAAACTTTTGTACAGAGGCCCGATCACATGCTCGAACTTATGGCGGTGTCCTGGAGCATGCAGTCATCCGTTAATAGAATTTGGTAGGCCTCTGGGAGTGTGCGTATCTTGCACAGTGTGATCTCTCTATCGTATTTTAGTTCCCATGGCCACGTTCCTAACAAAGATAAAGTATGCGTAGACACCTCCTACTAGAAGTTAACTACCCTTTTTGTCTGTTTTGTGTCACCTTCCTAATTCTGTGCTTGGGTACTAAACCATATTTGTCATTTAGTATATAGCACCTATACATCAGGCGGACTATTGTTCTAGAATAGATTTGATCTATATCATACTATTAATCTGCTTACCTTTTCGACCAATTGAACCCCATGAAAAATATTTTGCAGGATGAAAAACTACTGGGAGTTTTAATGGAGCGAATGCCCTCGGGTGGGAAGAACTTGGACGAGCGCATCGTGACAGTTTGCAGTGGACTAGATTTGGTAAACATCTCCTATACCAACTTCGTGGCCGCCTCAGCAGAAGTTGCCTCGGTGAGTCTCGTGTTCTTTGTCGCCAACACGACTTTAATGTTCAAAATAACCCCATAAGTCAGTCTTATTGTCTATAAGATCATTACTGCATAGTTACTGTACCATGAGTTGACCACTGAATACTGTATGCTTTAAGCGAAGAATTTCCGTTCCTAAGTTATTCATCCTGGTATTGGTATTTACATTTAGACATGCTGTACTCACTAGATCCATTTCTGCACGATTCAGAAATAAATCATACCAAAAGGATGAGGAATGTTGCCTGATAATTCTGATTTCCTGTTAATGCCTCATCAGTGAACCAGTCACACATATATCGTATAAACCTATAATCAGCAAGTCGTACATTCGGAAAACACTATAAGTTCCATAGTTCGGCTCTTTTACAAATGAATGTTAATTATCTTTTTATTTATTTCATTAATCTCCCCCAGATGAAAGTCATCTTATCATTTATTGTAGCTATGGATCCAGTCTGTGCGAGGTCTCACGCATAATACTAAAGCTCAAAATGTTTGTCCAATGACACAATTGCGGAAACAGTAAGTTATCCTCGCCATCTGTGTTAAATCCAGTAAATTTCTTCGTGGTTTTACCTCTCAGCGGGAGGCTATAACAACAGCCCCAAGCGTCAAATGCTTAATAATTTATAACTTATGAATTGAAGGAAACAACTTTGACTTTTAATCTCTAATTGGGTGTTAGGTTCAATGGCTCTTTCATGCCTATGCAAATGTCTTAGCATTTGCTGACGCGCTTTGCTGGCGCGTGCTGGGAGCCAAGCATCGGATGCTTTCATAGAATACTAATTTTTACTGCACTGAAAATGCGATTTAATTCTCCCCTTTCCCAAATGAATTCAATTTTACTCCAATCATCCACTCACGTGAGTGTAGTGTAAACTTTATTTCCCAAAATCCATCATTATTGTTCCAAGCTTACGTCTTGTAATGGTATGAAAGCAGTGAGTGCTTTCATGCCAATCAAATTGACAAATCCACTTTAATTCAGTCACAAATCTTCGTAGGTAAGCCACTTTAGCATAACTAGCCTATTTATTTTCAAACTTCTTCCGTTGTTTTGCTATGTTAGGGTTCAGTATTTTTATTTTGGATTGAATATTTTGCGATAATTTCGGCCCTTTACACTTTATTCGGTGTTTCAGAAAGTATTTTGCCTTTACTGTCTACTATCTGCCTCCCGTACTCATACTCTGTGACTGCAAACTTGGTAAATTGCATGTAATGATGCTCATCTAAACTACTTATTTTTGCCTAATTGGGCTTTTTTCGAAAGTCGATTCTGCCCTCGGCGTTTTCCGCACTCATTTCCAGCTTTTTCCATCATGTGCTTTGCACTTTTACGTGTTTTTATTACAATACTGCTGCTAACCTTCTATTATTGTATTTTTGTGCCTGGATTTCCACGTTTGCCCATTTAATGGGGTTGCTATTGGCAAATATTCTACGCGACTAAGTTAATTCTGCCCTGCTCCGTTACTTTAAAGTAGTTTATTCAGTTGGTCTAATTGTGAAGGATCGTTGTTTAAATTTTTCTTCGAAAAAGTAGTACTGACCCACGGTGGATGTTTACTCCGGCAGTTTTCCCTCTTCCAAACGATCAGTTGGCATTGCTTTCCCGTTTGCAGCTGGTTGCGGATAACACTGACGGTGAATCCTCGTGGCAAAATCCCCGTTAGAGTGGTGACCAAGACCTTCGCCTCCGGTCGCAACGAACGCATAATCTTCCAGAGTCTTAAGGATCTCGGTCTCCCTTCGGGAAAGGTAGTTCCCTTGCGCCTTTGCTTCATTTACGATTTTTCAATTAGTAGAACAAGGAATTCGCCAGAATCATTTTCACTCTATGGCAAGTGTGAGTGAGACTCAGGTCACTTGCTCCATGATCATTAATGGTGAAACAGGTGACCTTTGTTTACGGATCACTTGAGCCTAGGACTTTCAAGTTTTAATCATCAAGTTGACCGTTTTACTAAATAATGGATTTTAAAAAATGAAGTACTTTTTTATCCGGCTTGTTTGCAGTCGGTTCTTAATCTGCATTCATGACTGCTTAACTTGTCTAATTTGTAATCTTGTTTTAAGTTAAATGAACTCAATTAGTTGGCTGGCTGCATAGTCCTTACGCCGATAGTCAAAAAGATGTTGCTCAAGATTTTTGTGCGCGCTTGATGATATCGGGCTTCATCATCAAATTGTAAGCGCTTATGTTGGTTTTGCTTAATTTGACTTTAGAAACAATATCTCCTCATTGTAAATCTTGATTGCCATTATAGATTAAGGCTTTTTTTGCCTAGAATGATGAAGTAGAGCCCTCGGACTTCACGTTCGAACGGTTCTACGAATTGTATCATAAAATCTGTCCCCGAACTGACATTGAGGAGCTGTTCAAATCACTGTAAGTTGTAAACACAAAAATCAGTTTTAGTCTTTTGTCGTGTATATTCCTCTTTGTCTAAATTAGCGCACTGTGATACTGTAGATGTTGTTTTGTGTTTTTCATGCTAAATTCTGGATTTTGTAATGCTTCCTCTGGCTTTATGTCTTTTTTACTGTCCTTCGTATACTACATTCCCTTTTTTCACTAAGAATTTCTATCCCCACAAAGCAGTGTTTTGTAGTGTTTAATTCATTTCATTTCGTAACTTATTTATTTGGCTTGTACAGAGCAAAAATGAAAAATTGGGTGCTTTTGCTAGACTCGTATGCGATTCGAGTCCACCCTTCAGCGTACCGCTGTGATTTATTATGTAATTCGAAGGCGTCTTTGGAGGCTGAATAGTTCATTTCAACGACTTGTTTTTCCTCTACTTCAGATCTCATGGCAGGGACACAATTACTGCCGACAAAATGATAGAGTTTTTGAATGAGGTATGGTAAATAGACCCATCCACTGCACTTTTGTCCTGTGTAACTCCACCATTTCAACATTATTCTGTAGCTGTCCTTATTTCAAAATTCGGCTATGCATTTAGGCTAAACCCGGTCATTATTTCTGAACCTTCAAAAGGCGATTCAATTCTGCCTGCTTCTTTCGAACGGCAGAATGCATCAAATAGCTATATACAGTGATTTATACGAGGAAAATACTATATAATTTATGCGTCCTCCCCTTCTGAAAGCATTTTTGTCGCCTGTTAACTTTTCCTACATTTACCAGGTTCAACGTGATCCTCGTTTAAACGAGATTCTTTATCCCTACGCAAATCGCCACACGATCCGATATATTCAGGAGACATATGATTCACGAGACAAAAGTAACAGTTCTGGTATGTCTGATGGAATTTCGGTTTAAATTTATTATGATTAATGGCCATTTCAGCGTGTTCCCTTGAAGGTTTAGTTTTTTTTCATCATCATTATAGTAGCTTTGTGGCTTAGAATAGGTTCAACTTTTGCAAGTAAGCCATATGCTTGATTTTGTTTCTTAAATTCATTTTTAAATGCTTTTAGTTTGCAACATTATGTGGTTTTATTTTATTCTTTATATTATCTTTTGTATTAGCTCGCTTCCTTTTAGCACCTTTTGCTTTCGAATCTACTTGATTGATGTGGTCACAGCTATGCCATCTTTGAATGAAACATTAAAAGTTTACGTTCTTGTGTAATTGTGAAATGATTTATTTTGCACTTTACCATAGATTAACGAAGCAAATGTTATGCATTGTGAATTATTATCTGTTTCATCAGTCTCATAAAGATAATTTTTAAACTATCTGTTGAATTCTAGTCATCAAATCAGATGCTCCAACCGTCTTAGTGGAAAATCCATTATGCGAGATCCTGAAAACCTATTAATACGTCCCATTAAAATTGTCCGAATTAAAACGCGGTTGTTTTTCTCAATTCCTTCGACCCCTTCCAGGATGATTACTTTACCCTCATAACTATGACAAACGATAACTCATTCCCATAGTCATTGTTTTTTTGAATTTGTAGACACTGTGAGTCTGAAAGGCTTCTATCGCTATCTGATGTCGGATGACAATGCCCCAGTTTTTCTCGATCGACTAGATATATATCAGGATATGGACCAACCGTTGTGCCACTACTACATCAATTCCTCGCACAACACCTATCTCATTGGTAGACAATTCGGTGGCAAGTCGTCGGTCGAGATCTATCGACAAGTACTTCTTGCTGGGTGTCGGTATGTCGCAACATTTTCTAACTTTTTATTTTACGCTTCAGGTAATTAGATGGGTGTAAATCGGTCAATTTTTTAATCCTTAGTGGCTCGCCTTGTCGGCAATTACAGTAATTGCGTAATTTTGTTGGCCGATTCTATGCGTTTGCTTTTTTACTTCAAAATTACTGCAGTTCTGCTCCATTCATCATATATGGACGCTTTTTGCATGGCTTTGTGAGCTGAGCTTATTATTGGGCTTATCGGCGTTATATTCATAGACTTGGTTCTAGATCGTCTTTCAAAATTACAGATTTTTTAAACCCAATGTTTTTATCATTTTTTGTCTCAATATTGTTAGTAAACCGTTACTCTCCACATGTCTTAAATATTTGTACACTTAGTATCTTCACATCCTTCCCGGAGATGCTTGATTGTTTTCGGAATGAGCTATTGTTTCCTACATTTGCTTTGGGTCGTCTGAATATCTATGAAATACATGGGGGCCTGTATATGTGTGCACATACACTCATTCTCCCTTCCTTTCGGGACGCTGCATCCTCACTCTTAGAATAGCTCCATATAGTCTTTCGAGTACACACGTCAGATAAGTGAATTTCGACTTCTTTTACTAAATTATTTAATATTCGGTGTACCGGAAGCTTAGTTGTCGTGCACCACCTCGAATGCACTCCCGCGTCATGAATTTTTTTTACCTGTTTGGAATGATTGTTTTCAAAACTAGATATTATTCCCCATTCAGATTCTTATATCGCTTCGTTACGTGTTTACCTAGTATCCCTTTCTCACAGGTGTATCGAACTTGACTGTTGGGACGGCAAGGGGGAGGATCAAGAACCTATCATCACTCATGGAAAAGCTATGTGTTCTGACATTCTTTTTAAGGTAAGCGCTTTAATGTTTTTCACCAAATGTTCCAATTAAAAGTGAAGTGTAGAACAAAATCATTTTATCCACTATCATAAAAATGAACGTTTAGATTATCAACTCGAGGATTGCTAGCTTATTATTCCACTGGGGTAGTTGGATGCTTATGCAAAAGTACTAGCTTAATTTCTCATCCTATCAGAGAACTAGAAACAATGTGCATTAGTACCAAAAGAAATCAAGCCCCCATTCCTTTTTTCATTGTATCGCACTGACTATTTTACTTGTATGCCAATTTTGTGCAATTTCAATGGAGTTACCGTTAACTTTGAACATTTAGGATGTGATATATGCCGTCCGGGACACAGCTTTTGTGACTTCAGAATATCCTCTCATTATGTCTTTCGAAAATCATTGCAGGTACGCTAACAAAATTTCTTTCGCCTACGCGTTTGATTGTGGCCATTTTTTCAAACCCGAGTAAATATTGCGCTCACGATTGTTTGGATGCTAAGGTCACGTGTTTTGTGTGTCTCCTACGCCTCGACAATTATTGTGCAATGTTACATTTCACCTCACCTGCTACATTCCAGTCCCATACTATCCAAGCATTGTTGAGCAACAACACGTACTTTGCCACACACATGTAGATGAAGACTCAGTGTCGCGTTTCTCTGGCTCTGAAACGCTCGCTTTAATAAAACATAATATCGGTGGTTTTCCACGGATAACCAACAGCACGCAAACATCCGGTCAATAGCAACATTGATTTAATAAATATTAATGAAGTGATCGTGAAAAATTGTTTTTTAACCTATTATTGCCATTTTCAATTTTACATAATTACACGTTCCACAATTGGAATGAAACATGCTATTTTGCTTCCTACATTCAGGCACTCGAGTTCAATTTTCTACACTTAAAATTGAGTTTTAATTTATCTAATGACGATCTCTAAATTTTTTGTTGTTTTGTAGCAAACACCAACAATACAAGTTGGCGAAGTACTGCGAAGACATCCTAGGTGACATGCTGCTGACAAAGCCACTTGACAAACATCCCGTACGTTTCCTGCTCTATCACTTCTCCCTCTCTCATATGTATCAACCTAATTATGGTATCCTTCTTGGTCTTTTGCCTGTTCGTTGAGAGGTAGAAATAAGTCGGGTTCCTAGTCTGAAATTGAGTCATCATTACGTTGCATGTGAATCTTGCCTAATGAACGCGTACATTCTTGCGCATTTAACCTATTTAATTGTTTGAGCAATTACTATTGAAATATTGTCCGTGCCTATGTTTTATGTATTGTACTAGTGTAAAGCAATAAATTCTTCTATTTCAACTTTGCTACTTCTAAATTCACGTTAGTAGAACTGTTGATTTTTCATACTTTTTGCCAATGGATCAGTCTATCGTTTTGTCTTCTCTCTGTTTCCGAATGTAAACTTCAGTATCTTTCCAATTCGTAGCTTGAACCTGGTGTTCCCCTCCCATCCCCTGAGAAACTCAAAAGGAAAATTCTCATCAAGAATAAGCGCCTGGACCCTGATGTCGAAAAGCGTAGGTTGTTCACTTTCTCGGCATTGACAACTACCAAGATTGCATCACCATCTCTATATCTGTTTTAGTTGGTCTAATCTTTGAGGCCTATATTGACTTGAATGCTTAGTAGTTTTAGATGAGAAAAGGTGTTTTACCGTGACACACACTTTTCCGCATTTATTCTGCTGTAAATCCCGGATTTATTAGTTAACGCTAAGTTAATTATGCTTATAAATCACTAGTTGCGAAATTCCTATTTAAAATCCTCTCATATATACAGATTAACGCCTTGTAGGTCTACATTTTGCTAGTATTTGTAAACGCCTATGCCGGCCATTTATTCTAATCCTCGTGCAGCGAAGGTGACCATTGTTCCGGTCGTTAATAATTGCGATGATCCATTGACCTTTTAGACCAACTGGAATTGTTCATAAAAGGTCAAGCCGATCCTGTGCAAGAAGAAGATGATGTGGCAGAAGATCCCGATCCCCTTGGCTCCACTGATTGTGACGTCAGCCCCATAAACGGTACGTGTTTATTGTCGCTATCCCACCTTTTTGTACTTTCTGAATGCTTTAATGTATTTGAAGCTTTTTCAATGTCATTATAGTCTAAAGGATACTGGCTGAAAACCACAATAATTTCTCCGGTTCAGAAATTTAGTCATTGTTTCGTTCACTTTCCTATCCAATAAAGTTTAATCTGGTATCACTAATGGCATCTTTCATTGTCATTTTAAACTTTTTTTTAAAATTCTTAAGGTTGACTTTGATTTAACCCTCATTTGGCTAAAAAATGGCTTCCGATGTCTTTGATTTTTGTTCTGGTTTCTGCCTAGGTGATATAGATCCTCATCCGGAAACCAAAATACGGCCCGGCTCGGGCCAAATCAACGCCCTCTCTACTAGCAGTGCTTTTTCTTCCTCTCTGATGGGCAAGCTCTCCGAAACTGAAATGAAGCGATTAATAATGAAAAAGGTAGCTCTTGTTATTCTATTTCTTCCCCTTATTGAAAGTCAAACCTTGCTAAAGGTATGGCTCGCTTAGATCTGTTGCGATTATTTGTCAAGACAAAGCGGGGCTCATAAGGGTTAGCACTTTTACCACTTTTGCATATTTTATATCGCATTTTGGTTTTGCTGATTTTTATGCTAAAAATTGCTTTGATATCCCACCTGGTTGATAAACGTTTAACTGAATTTTCTGTCTCATGTCTAACTTTCTATCTATTCTTCCCTACCTTCGCCGCAATTTTTTGCGTGATGTTCACTTCGGATCAACAGGAAGAGGTTCGTATTTATTCATTGCGCAATCTCTTAATTCGTTTTTCCCGTCTAGTCAATTTTACTTTCAAGATAGTAGTTTCTTTTATTGGCCAAAGTCTCACGGTAAAATCAAATACATGAGACTAGTTATTCCATTTACATTCTTTTGTAAAACTGTTTCTCTTGAAGTACTTTGAGCTGTTCTGGCAATGTGATGCTTGGCCACTATCAATACGCTTGATACTATGCACGCCGTTTTTTGACTTCATTCTAAAGTTCATATATTCCACGAAAAGCATATGGCGAACTTGAACCAACGCCTTGTCGCCTTACGAAAAAAGCGTTTTTTAAACAACTGTATGTTTTTTGATGACAATGCTGTAAACGTTCTGCTTTTGACTAATGTCTGGTGAGATTTTTTTCTGACCTCTTTGAAAGTTTCTCTGGCCTGCGTTGAAATATCTTTCCGTCGCCCGTGGATTTTTTTCCAAGCTAAAGAATGTGTTTAATTTCTAGGACACTTAATCAAAGGCTCCGCTTGTTTTTTCTCCGACAGTTTTCTTTTTGTCGTTGGCATCATAATTCCTCCTGGTCGCTTTAATTCACGCCTCTCATTAGTACAAACACGTTGATAGGGTCCTTAGAATTGATATGAATTTAATCACAATGTTGACTACTTTTTTGCATTTAATATTAGATTAAAATTTCTTAGTCTCGAAACAAACCTGACTTAAGTGACTTATTTGTGAATTCTCCGATACACTTATTGTGTATGCGGAGCAGCCTGAGATTTGTAATCCACATGTTTGCCAATCACTTGTGCGGTTGCTTTCCGTCGATTTGCGTTTTCCCCTCCTCTACTGCAGGGTACTCTAACTGCAGAAGAAGAGCAGGCCATGCTGGCCCAGTACCATTACACAGGTGCGACGAAGACAATTCATCCCCTTCTCTCCTCTATGGTCAATTATGCCCAACCGGTCAAGTTTCAAGGCTTTGACATCGCTGAAGGTCAGTCTCGGTTTAGTGCACCTCATTTCAATCCGAATTAGAAGTGTTCTGGAAATACTTGTTATTTTGACAAATTCATATACGCAATAGGCCTAGTGACTGCATAGATTACATGTAATCATTGGATTAGAAACACAACTTAATCTATAAAGTTTCTATCTCCTCTTTTAGTGTTCACTAGTATTTTCGCTAGCTAGATCAGTTTTAATTTTCGATTATATTTTGTCTCGTTGATAAAAGCTTTAATGTAGATTTCTTTTCCCTTCCACCCTCTGTGTTGTTTGCCTGGTCCTGTGCCAAATTGCATGTTGTGCTTTGCATTAATGCATATCCATGCGTGGATCATTGTGCGGTGCATATGTAGATGAGAACATCCACTATCACATGTCCTCCTTTAGCGAGACGGTGGCTTTGGGTTTGATGAAAAATGAGGCCATCGAATTCGTAAAGTATCCTTTTCTTCTTCGAGGTCTGCGTGAGAATGCCTGTGAAGCATGCTCCCCTCCTCAGCGTCTTGGATTAATGCTTAATGTTCTTTCCTTTTCCCTATCCCTTTGCACATGTTGTTTGAGCAAAACGACTGTCTTTCCAAATGTCGTCTTTCAATGAGAACACTGCTCTTGGTCTCATCAAGCGGAGTTGCACGGAATTCGTTTGGTATCTTTTTTGTGTGTTTTATTTTATCTTGTTTCTACTTTGCATGAAGGACCTTTGTTATGCGGTTCTTTGTTTACGCTACATGCTTGCGTGCATCCTTGAAGTCCTTTTCAATACGCCACTTCGTTGTAATACCCTGCCTGGTACTATTAGTATTAGTATTGTTATTTACTTAGTTTTGGACAGATTTGTTATCTTGCTTTCGTGTACACTTAATGCTTGTAAATAATATGTTTGATATCACTTTTATTAATGGTTAGATGTGCCATTTAACCCTTATGTGGTCTTAGCGTAGCAAATTCACAAATCACCATTTAACATATTTGCTATCCAGCTTCTTTATAGTGTTTTATGTTAATTCCTTAACCGATGAAAATAGTTACAACAAGCGTCAGATGAGTCGCATTTACCCACGTGGGAACCGTGTTGAGTCCAGCAACTACATGCCTCAGGTAATATGGTCGTTGAAAGCTTGCTATAAAGTACTTGACTTATTAACGGAACCAGCTTAGAGGTTTCCTGCTGGGTGTGTTCTCGAGTGGTATTATCACTGGCAGTTATCCCAAAACCTGTAGTTACAATTCAACAAATTGGTGGTTGGTCATTATCATCCTTTTGTGTCAAGTTTTTTCCCGCATTTCTAATTTTTAACTAGCTTTTAGAGTGGACTTATAGCCTTGCTTTTTTTGCACTGTGCTTTCCTCGTGCACTTTGTTGCGAGTTGGCTGCCTCTTCATCTCATTTAAAATTACTGTTTTCATTATCGACACATTCCATGAAGCAAAGTAACTGATAGTTGGCTAATTTTTCGGAATTTCTAGATTTTTTGGAATGCAGGATGTCAAATGGTCGCGCTCAACTTTCAAACGCCCGATCTTGCCATGCAACTGAATCAAGGAAAGTTTGAATACAATGGCAATTGCGGGTAAGTTTAAAACCTATGTTTATCTCATTTTTGCACCAAACGTACGCGTCTCAGCCACCCAACCTCACTTTTGGTTTTATTGGTGCTACTGATATCATAGTTTAGGGCGGATGAAATTCGGCAATACCCCATGTTTTGTCTGTGCTTCGCTGTGTAAAGGCTACTGACATCTTATCGTCTTAAAACATTTCTTGCTCAAATCCAGTAGTTTAGATTGGTCGAAGGTTTGCTGCTTTACCTGAACTACTATGCTCAGGATTTATAAAATGTAGTTCTTTGTAAACATATAAATAATTCGTTTAAAAAATGGGTATAGAATTTCCATTTTGGATGAATTTCCTTGCCCTAAAGCTTACTCATGCCAATAACTGTTGAACCAGTTTCAAAAATAAATACGCACTGCATAAAATGGGAAATGTGTTAGCCAAAGCAGGCCTTTTAATGACGAGTCTAATTTTTCTTTCACTTTTGTTAATGTAGCAGTTAATTTATCATCATCCTTTTTCGTTTTATGGGAGCGTAAGTTTTTTACGGTGGACATTTCCCCTACCTTCATTTAAATGCCTATTTCAAGTTATTTCCTTTAACTATTACGCGTATTCTATTCACTTATTGCAAATGCGTGCTTTGATTATTTGAGGTATCTATTGAAACCAGAGTTCATGAGGCGTCCGGAGCGCCAGTTTGACCCCTTTTCGGAGTCCCCAATGGACGGTGTGATTGCGGCGACTTGCGAGGTGCGAATAATCTCGGGCCAATTCCTCTCCGATCGCAAAGTGGGCACCTACGTTGAGGTGGACATGTACGGTCTGCCCACGGACACTATTCGCAAGGAGTTCCGCACCCGTGTGGTACCCAACAATGGCCTCAACCCCGTCTACGGCGAAGATGCTGTCTTCGTCTTTAGAAAAGTGTGTAACCTATTCATCTCTTCGCTCCCTTCCTTAATCTCTTTTGGCACCTCATCGTGCAATTACCTCATTTGCTTCCATCGCATAGATCTCTACTTGGTTCATGAAGTTTGTGGGCGCAAAATATCGTGATTTTGTGCAATTATTTCGTGCACGCAGTACCTTCATTCGCTTCTTACGGTTGGCTGGGTAATACGCGCCTCCTGACCTTAGTGTGTTATTCCCAGTTTTCATATGGTGTTAATTGTTAAGTCTAGCCCATAATTTGCATTTATTATGGCGCTTGGTCTTCACCACTTTCGGCTGTTACTTGGGAAACTCCTTTTTGCCATTTTAGGGAGGTGTGTAATCGTCCCAAATGAACTTATAAATGATTTTTCCCGAACTATTGCTAAACCTTACCGCAAACTGAGGTATCTAATTTGGTCTGTAGAAGACCATTGAATATTAGGAAATTTAGCTGTGGCAGCCACCAGACGCTTCTGCGGTCACTGTTCCTTCTGTCTGCGCTGCCAGATGTCGGCGCGTTATGATGCCTATCTGTGTGTTCGATTCACCTTTTGACAGTGGCCTAAATTATGGTGGCGGTGTACTCGCGAAGAATCTGGCGACTATGCTGCGATGATTGGTCTATCTATTTTTAGTCAGACATGCATGAAAGCATCCTATGGATTAATAAAAGTAGACGCTCTCTGAAATTACAAATTTAGTGCTTACTTTACTGGTTTTGCAGAGCAACGGTTCTGTAAATTTTCTTTGTTCATTTTCCCTATGGAGGATAGCTTTCTTAGGGTAGCTAAATGCACGTATAGGTTCCATTGCTGACTTGCTTAATTTATTCCAACTTATCACTTCATTATGTTTATTCCTGTGCTTTTGTCTATTTTAAAATACCTATAAGTATGCGTTCGATATAACCAGATAATCGCAAACCCGTTTTTAATTGAGAAGGAATTACAATAGGATTGACAGTTTACTATGGAGTTCATTGCCATTTCCCTGTTTTTTTATCAAAGTTTATGAGGGTGGATTACTCAAACCAGGATGGTGTTTTGAATCAATCAATAATTGGTTAAAGAATTTGGATATCCATAAAAAGACCCCATTTTATTCAATAAGGAAGATTTGAAATCAAACTGATTTACTCTACTATTTCCATTTGTATTACCGGCACTGCTTGAATTGACGAATGATCGAATTAACTCGTTTTGAATACTCCTAACGTAACGGTTGTTACACACTCGGGCATTTCAGGTGGTACTTCCGGACCTGGCGGTACTGCGCTTTGCGGTTTACGAGGACACCGGCAAGTTGATTGGCCAGCGTGTACTACCACTTGATGGCTTGCAGTCGGGCTATCGGCACATCTCTCTTCGAACTGAGGGCAACTTCCCTCTGTCCTTGCCTACTCTTTTTTGCCGTGTCTCCTTGACCACCTACGTTCCCGAAGGCCTTAACGATCTTGTTGATGCCCTCTCTGATCCCCGAGCCTTCTTGAGCAAAGAGGAACAACGCATGAAACAGGTCATTTGTGCTTCCATTATGTCTTTTCATATCCTTTCCTGTTAATGCCAAACTGGTAGGCATTTTCTCATATCCACAGAGGAAAATGTCTATTGCACTAGACTTTTAACACCGTTAACAATTACCCTAAATAGATTATGAGCATTGCATTGGATTACTGAAGTACTTTGGTCATCTGATATCTGTTACTACGTGCCTCGTTTCATTATGAGTTATCAGAATGTCAGTCGTTACCTTTGGGTTCTGCCCTTTAAACCTGCATCTGATTGTTCACTATGCTACTGTTGTTCAGCTTGCGAGTATGGGCATCGATTCCTCTGAGATTGATGAGGTATCCTCATCCTCAACGAAACTGACCTCTATGCTGAAGCAGCGGCCAGTGGGCAGCGGCCCCACTTTGAGCAGCACGACGTCGGGGGTGCCAACAGGTAGTGCGGGTTGTGCTAGCGCAGGCGGCGGTGGTGGTGGAGGTAGTAGCAGTAGTGGTGCGGGAGTTGGATCGGCTTCGGGACTGTGCCTATCTTGCCTCGGTCCCTCTGGCGACCCTCATCGATTGACCCCTGCCTCTGTTACTGGGGTCGCAGCCTCCACCGCCTACGGCTCTGGTACCGCTTGCATCGCTGTTTCCACACCTGGACCCTCCGGAAACAGTACTAAAAAGGAGGATAAGAAAGGTTTGTCACGTCTCGTAACCTTTATTTCGATTTTTCTCACTTCTTACTGCGCTCGTTTTCTTTCACCTACTCTGAAACAGAAGATCCCAAGTTCCCATCAATTTCCTTGGCAATGCTCCGAAGTGACAAGAACTACCGGAGACTAGTGAAGAAGCAAGCTAAAGAATTGGAGAGTCTTCAGCGAAGGCACGAAAAGGAAGCGGCTGCGATGCTTCGAGCGCACTCACTCCTCACCGACAAACTGAATGCCTCCCATGCCAAGGCCATTGCTTCCTCCACCTCGAGTCTACGTAGCACTCCCCAAAAGTACCTCCTTTTTGTTTCTGTTCTGTGGCAATAAGGTTTGTTGTCTTTATGTATTTCTCTGGCTTGGTGATTGTCGTGTTAATGCTTTTCTCTCAGCTACCTGCTGCGAGGCTTAAACCGGAGTCGGTTGGCTTCGCTGCCCACAAAGCTGTAAGTTGATAGCACCTGGCTTCCCGTCTCTCTATGTGTATGCACCACTTATAAATCTCCCTCCCCACCTCAATCTTGCATAATTTCGAAGATCACCGCCATTTACTGGGTGGTCAGTAGTTACCAAGCCAATTGTTTTCGGACATTTCCTATTCCTCTTGGATGATCTTGGCATTCGTAGAGTTGTTTTGTTTTATTTAAATCGAACTTTGCCCTTTTGGTGACTGTGCAGGAGTCAATCTATGTGCTTTTGGTGCTACATTTGAAAAAAAACCGAGAACTGAAATGCTAGCTCTGTTGTTTGCTCATTGATACCTAAGTTTTTTTAGTTGTTTCACATCATATGTATTTGCATCTACATTGGCTATTCATTTATAAAAAATATGTAACTGTGTTTCTTGAATCGCTAGAGTGAACGGAGTGGGAACACCCTTGAAGGAGGCGCACATCGCACAAATGAACGATCTGGTACGTCAACAAACCGACGAGTGGAGCAAACTTAAGTGCACTCAAATGAGCGAAATTCACACCCTCGTCCTCACATTCATAGATTCTCGAAAGGATCTCCTCTTAAAGGTACTAGCCTTTTTTACAATCCACCGAAAGCTTAATTTCTCGAGACATGCTTTCGTTCTCACACATAGTCTCAGTTTCGCGACTGCAAGAAATTCCTCAACGTTACATTTTTATGCCATCGCAGGCAGGACTCCAGTCAGGTGTGCCAAGCATTGTAAAAACGACAATTTATTCATCTTTGTTGACAAAACTCACTAATCCTTTTGAAAGTCTTGTACATTGAGATACACCTTTTGTCTTGCTGACCCTTCCCTTTCTAGATACTGCTTTCCCAAAAGCTTTTGGTAGCACTCATGAGTAAGCATCGTAAATGTTTCGGTTAAATCGTCCTTTTAATTGGCCATTAGCCGTAAGTATAATCCTTCGTTTGATATTATTTTATCTGCCTCATCTGAAAGCGAAGCGCCTTTAGGGATTGCATTGCATAATTAAGTGTTCATACTAAAGAAATCAGATCTCAGTAGATGGTGACGCCGTTCACCATTATTGAGTAAATGTGTTTATTTAAAGTGCTACTGCGTCCCAACCCACTGCATAAAATTGTCCACTCTCATCCCTGTTTAGATTCTCCGCGATACGCACGATGAGCAGAAGCGTTTGCTGAAACAGATCCAGGAACGCGAGAACAAGGACATGAAAGCACAACAGATCAAGATCTCCCTCGACTCCAACCGTAACGTTATGAACGATCCCAAGTTAAAGAACAAGGCGGAGCGTGACCGTCGGATTCGCGAGCTAAAGGACTACAACACCAAGCGCTTTATCGACCAGCGGAAGGCGCAGGCTCAGCGTAACGATCGTCAGGCACAGGATCTCCTTCGCCGCCACGAGGAGGAGGAGCAGGGTGTCATTGCTGGTGTCAATCGAGTTCGTTGTTTTGCTCTTAAGCGTTCCTTCTTCCTTTATTGTTAACGCCAATATTACCAGCTTTAAAATATTTGAAATGGAATTGATTCAGTGTAATATTCCATTGCCTGCAGTTCCTTTCTAGAAATCGGGCTCGAAATCATTCTCTTGCTCATTTTATGCACAATTTATAGGTTCTACTTGCTACATCAGAACCCAATGTCTTCTTTCGAAGGGCAAATTTCCAATCTTATCGATTCTAGCGCACCTAACTTTGCCTCTGTTGGGCTATTGTCAGAAAGTCGGTTTTCCGTGTTTGAACTCTGCGCGGTACTTAAAAGTTTTAGTAGAAAGACAATAACCGATTTTCTAATCTTGTAGGAACGCGACGAACTCATTCGCAATTATCGAGAGGAATTGTTGGCCAGCAAGCGTGCGACAATGATTTAGATGCGTCACGAAATGGTTTTTCACGAAAGCATTCTCTTCTGTGCTTAAACATGCGCATGCAGGCTGAGTCCTCGCCACCACCCTTACTCCCTTTCCAGGGTACTGTCTGTGATCCTCCCCACTCACCCACATTTCCACAATTGAAACACCTGGCTTCTACTCTTCTTCTATCTTCCTCGACCTATCATTGCTTTCTGCTACCTCCCAACTGCGCAGTGACTGATGCCTCCGCTTGAGGTTTTGTAAATCCTGCACCCAGTGGTGATGACCTCTCCCTCTATATCTTTCTTGTAATCAGATCACTGTCTCCTGCACACGTATGTGCGGGTCATTTTTCCACGATCTTCGCCGTACTGCTGTTGTCGTCGTCGTTCATGTTGTTGAAGGAGAAGCGCAAGAAGGGGTTTTTACTCAGGATATGTTCCATCACCTCATGCCTTTGTCATCTTACAATTGGTTTGTAGGTTGGTCAGTTGGCTTGCTTCCGTCCCGGGTGTTATTTTGTGTATTTTCTGGCGCGTTCTCTCTGTCCGTATAATGTACACCAACACCCAGTTTGTCTTTGTGCTATATTTTGCTTCTCCCGTCCGCGTACACACACCTACATCCAGTCACCTGGATAGCAGATTTCCTGTCTTGTTCCACCACCCCACCTGATTAATCCGATATCACTGTTGTTTGTTTAAGTTATAGTTACCTTACTTGCGCCAGTCATATCCTCCATCTCCATTTCTTTTTTACTTGCAACTGTAGCTCTCAGCGGTGGGAGATGGAAGAGGACAGCTTCTTTTATCCTCTGCTTATGTGCTCTCACTGGTGTACATACATAAAAAATGCTCTTTATTCAAAATTCGCTCTTCTCTCCTTGGAATGGGTCTTCACTACTTTTATCATGACATCATTCGCTTTTCAAAGTTGTACTTTGGGGGAGAATGGGCTCTTTGTCACGATTCGTCCATCTTAATCATGCCTTTAAGATTTCATATTATGCGCTCTACAATTAAACACAATTCATTTTATGCTCCAGTTTTTATTAAAAGTTGATTTTACTAACAAACGTGCTTTGATCACTGTATTGTCTAGGCCTGTTGGTACAGCAATTTTGCTGGAAAGAAAGGGAGGAGTTTTGCACAGATATTTTTTACAATGCTAAGGGATTCCAATTCTTGTGGGAATGCGATCATCGTGTCCCGGCCAGCGCCCTCTCTGGCGGACGTGTTGACGCACCCCCTTACATTCCGTGTAGTGGAAAACACGTTAACACGCTCATCGTTCCCCATACGCAGCGTGGATTCACGACTTCTAGTTATCTGTACGCTTTGTGCCCTTTGCTTTTTTGCAAACTGTGCTACTGATTCTGTCTTGATACCTATGAGTGATCGTGCCACTGATGCTGGCACCGAATCAACTGGCTGCCCTTATCAATTTTGAAGCACAATATATACCGCTTTGCTACTCACCAATTAGTGATTGATTTCATTTCGTGTATTGTTGATACAAGGACTGGTATGAGCGAGCTGTACCTGCTTGCTCTTCCGTAGTGAGGATGGCTGAAATCGCTCTGCATCCGAGTACCGCAGTGAATTCATTGTAGTCGAGGAGCTAAATAATGGAGACACTCGTTAGTGAGTCTGTACCGACTCACAAATTGGAATTTACGAAAATCAAATAACAGGTTCTTTGTGAGCCGTGCTTAACGAATTTCGGGAAAAGTCTTCCTTAGTAAATTAAATGTTAGTCGAATGCTTTTCAAGGGTGTGATTGCGTAGTTCATACTTTTTGAAGTAACTGTAACAGTTATCATCGAAGGGCATCTCCATTTGCTTTCCACCCTAATAAAGTTTCCACTGTGTCCTCTTCGACCAACGCAGCTATCAGTTAGCGATCGTCATCTTGCATTTTCGGGTCACTTTGTCCCAATTCGATATTATTCGATGCTGACGGATTCTAGTCGTATCAGCAATATCTTTATGATAATTTTCATGTACTTTCAAAGAGGACAATTGCTACCTTCTTCTCCTTAAATGTTATTGTCGAAGTAAATTTAGATGTGGTGGGAAAATCGATAAAATTCTAGTGGATTTGGTCGGTGTTCTGAGCATTTCTCATTGCTTACGTGATGCACAAGGCGATTTCGTTTTGTTCTACGGTGTTCGTTGTGATGTCAAGCACTCCAAGTTCCTTTTATTCAGTTGCTCTGTGGATTGCCAATACGCTGGGCTATATTGAGAGTAGCAGCTCGAATTGGCACTCTGGATACTTTTCATTAGTAAATCATAAATATATTTTGGTGTTCGTAGAATAGTCGCAGGGATTCTACATTAACAGCACGACACCCCGTGTCCCTCCTACAAAAATTAGTACTTTGTGATCTTTAAGTATTTCCGATTGCCATAACAAGCTATTATCTTCACGAAATTTTTATCCAAGAAACTGCAAAATCTCTCTTGAAGTCTTACTTCAGCAGAAATAAATTAGCTATATGAATGTATTAGTTTCAAACTGTTTGCTTTGAGAAACCATTATATAGTACCCCTTGGCCATATATGTTATTAAGATCTAGTAGGAAATTACACGCTTATGAAACTAGTTTAATTTTAGATATCTTTGTTCATGGAACGTATTGGCATGGCCTCATGGGAGTGACTTGGTTTCGTCCTTTCCCTCCCTTCTCTTTCCTCCTCCCCTGGCCTGGAAGTGTGGCAGGTTAAGTCAACGCGTCAGCCAATAGAAAGGCGTGAACGGCATTTAGCGCGCGCGATCAGCCTATCAGCCAATGTGAAAGAACAGTTTCCGACACACTATGGAAAATGCACTTCGCGTTTCTCATATCATTTACCAGCATCAGATAACCATCCTTGGCAAGAATAAGTTATCTGAATACTTTATGGGCTGGGGATTATGCTCCCGTCCCAATCAAAACACTGCCAATCCCACCCGAAAGGCAGGGGATCTACCAACCGCACATTTACAATGAATCCAGCGGTCATACTCATATACCTTCTCTCCTTCACGTCGTCTGTGGAAGCAAATATTACCTTTGGAAGTTACAAGAACCCCGAATACTGGTGGTGAGTTGCATTTCTTATGATTCCCAAGCAAGTTCAAGTGAAAATCCACTGCAGTTTATTGGAATTTCGAATTACCATAGTTACTGATGGCTTGAGTGATGGATTTTTTCGACTTTCAGTATTACCTTTAAAATGCTCATAGTGTCCCCACAATAGTCCACGTATTTATTTCTAATGTTATTGGTCCAAATCGTTAAAGTAACTGTATAGGAAAGTGAAACTGGTTAAAGAAAGGCAGCAGAAATGCTTTGAAATGTTGCCAAATTTGAAAGTTTCATATACTTATTTAATAATCTTATCTATAATGCTAATTTAAGTACTGCTTTTAAAGGCGCCAACCAATGTAGTGGCTATATTAAGAAAAAGGTGTGGCATGATTTAGACAAGTCAGGTCCGACTTTTCAATAGGCCCAGGACATGTCCATTTACAGTGGCCGCCCTGTCCTTAATCGGCTCTGGCCCTGGGTCCATTTAGCCCAGTAAAATTGGAGCCTTCATCTTCATAATTGTTGATAGACCACAGAGAGCAGATAGAGCTCCCTTTATAACACCTCAAAGTGCTATGGTGGCTTTTAAAACAAATTCAAGGTTTATTTCTCATTTTTATCATTTCTGTCTAAGTACTTAATTACATGCACAAAGACACCGTGTTCCACTTGGGTATAAAATCATCAGTGTTACTAACCTAATGTTACTGAATCTAATGAGAGTAAACAGGTATGTATGTGAAAAAAACAAAACCCCAAATATTATTTTATTTCACTATTTAAGCAAATATTTAAGAGAATCCGAACTCGACGCCTTGCCTCCAGGATCAATATCACCATTGTCGGTGCTACACTAATCATCGTATTTGTCGATGTAATTTGCTCAATTTTCCAAAATGTTTTGGTAAGAGGTGTATGCGACTGAGAGCTTTTTGATTGTTTCATATTAGCCGTGAGTCAACCCCAATTTCCACTGGGTTGACAAGGTTGTTTGTTGAGGTGGAGGAAGCAGGTGTATTTATAAGGGAGTGCTGCGTGAGTACGTTTTCCACACTATGTGCTTGTGATGGCCTCGCATGTGAGTGGACCACGCTCACTTCAGACGGATGTGTCCGTGCTGAGCCTCGTCATTCACATGCTTCCTCCTCGAACTCAGCAGTTTGGGTCAGGTTGACCAGCCAGCTGGCCGGTGTGGTGGATCCTGGCGCTGGCACGAGTCTGATCGATCCACACATTCACGTCCCCATTCACTCCTCCGCATATTCGTAGCCCGGCCTTCGACTGCAGGAGTTCGATCAACAAGGGGAACTTAAGTCCAGTCTGAAATTTAAAAAGCCCCTTTCAATTGAAAGACTTATTTATTTTTCTTTAATAGTAAGTCCGTGTTCACTTTTTTCGAAGAAAAGGCGGGTTCTTAATGAACATGTTTAGATGTATAGTAATGGATTTAATGAAGCTGCATTCTTTTTTGAAAGACTGTTTAGTAAAGGCGATTTTACATAAAAAACGATGATTTTTAACTAATTTTAATTATTGTTTGATTTTTTTCTTTTTAAAGTGATTAATAAGGTTCGCATTAGCAAATAAAGCACCTACTTTGTTTCACAGCCCAATGTTATTTGTACTCCGTACACAGCTATAATCACCTTCGGGGGAACTTCCAACAAATTATGCCAACGAATTAAGTCTCATTTTACAGGCCTTGAAACGGTCATTTTCGAGAGATTCGTCATTTTTTAAGCGAAAGTTACGATTAATGCACCTTTAAGTTCAACCGCATCGACTGCAGTGAATTCCTTTAAATATGCGGAGGTGAACTCCAACTGCAGTTTGAGTTTTCATGACCACATTGGCGCCAATGAGGCCATTTTTAAGTTAAACGTGTCTAACTGCTATCATTTGCGCAACACCAGGCAGTTTTGTCTGCTCAACCGTCACATCACCGACTATAGCCAGCAGTGATGCGGTTACTGGGGCTCAACTGCGGAAAAGCAGCCCTCACGAGCCATTGCTCGCAAGGCTAAGTCTGTAGTAATTGAATTTTGAGTGCGTAGGGTCCTTTTCTGGTGCTCGGTCTACTGGTGCCTGGTTGTAATGGTCCGACAGTGGGGTCACGTGCTGCACGCCCAAGATGCAGTTTGTGCCAAAATTTTTTTCTGAATTGACTAGATTTACTAACTCAAGTCATAGATCCAATTTCCAGAAGAAGAATTTTAGTGGATGGCAGATATTCTTCTTTTTAAATTTACTCATATCCTGGCAAACCGGCTATCATCCACTAAGCTGAGATCGATGACACTCTCCACAATGATAACTGCAGATGCTTTTTGATATTCTTGAAATCATCTCAAATCTTTAATGCTGGTAAGAACTGTATGCGAAGTTATTTTCACATCCAAGACCACTACCTAATTGCCTCGAAATTAACATTACAGTCATTTTGGAGTTGTTCCCGAACACTAACGTTTAGACTACTTTTGAAGTTAACATTTCAATTCGAACGAACTCAATTGACGCAAAAGCCCAGCAACAATTTTGCTTTCCTGATATAAAACCTGTGATTTGATGATTGAGAACGTTTATTGTTGTTAGCGTGGCGCACGATGACTTCTGTTATATCTCCTCTCCTAACCTCATCTCAGTCCCAGAACCTCAATTTCTAACAAGTGAGTAGTCTTGAGTTTCATTGTGTATATCCGTGATGGGAAAACTGCATCCACCACCACAATTGCCCCAGAAACCACGAGTGTCAAGTGAGAAGTTGGTAAGTTGCCTCCGATTGTTCACAGCACGTCACCTAGCTCTCCCATGGTAGCGCGGTTAATTAAGCGCTCTGCAGCCTGATAGAATACCGCAGATATTTACATATTTCGACTTGCCGTGATTTAAGGAATTCGCTTTCCAGATATTCTTCATTACTAAGGAAATGAGTATCCCCTCCCTCTATGCACATCCCGCTCAGCTCCACATCCGGCTAGATCACATTGAATGTTACATAATGTTCAGCACACCTGAGGTTCGATTAAATTACTACTTTTTAGCGCCTTTTGGAATTATACGAGTTTGGACACATTGAGAAAACCCTGTTAGGTAAATCATGTCCTTTGAGTTACTTCAGTAGGAAACTGGCCTGAGTTGCTAGGTCATCTTTTCCTTCACCGACCGCATAATGACTAGTTAACTATGTCGAAGGTTTGGTGTTGAGAAGCACAACAATTCAGAGAATATCGACCACAGATTTGCCTCGATAACAGATACCTGACGGAGGCGAAGGCATCGTCTGTTGCCAGGGCTAGCGTTGAGAATCAAGCTGTGGGGATAGAGGGTGCTGAGTGAGTTACGATACTGATGATGATGGTGCTAGACCGACCCGTCTTTCGGCGTCGACTCACTGGCATTTCGGTTGTTGGGCTGGAAGGGGGGAGGGCGTAGGGGTGATGGTAGTGCGCCGAATTGCAAATGTCCCTGCCGGAGTCTAGCACCTCTCACACACACATACTTTATTTATATATTGCAAAAGAGGGCAGGGAGAGGGCGGAAGGCGGTTGTGAAGATGAATACGCATAAGTGACGCATCATGCAACCTCATTCATTAGCATTTAATCTAATGCGAGACGAGGGGAAGTATAGCAGCAATTAGCACACAAACCTCGCCATAGTTTGCTGCCTTGCTAAAATACCACCTCACTTGATACACTCTTCATTGGGAAATGAGTGATCAAAGCAGTCGTATTAAAACGTTCGAAGCACTCCAGTTCTGCCTATGCAGTTACTTTCAAACTATCAGGAGATAGTGGATTTTGTGATAGACGCCACTGAGTAAAGTTGCATGCGGATTCAATTTCGATACAATGATTTTGCATTCAAAATTGCAATAAGTCCCATGCAGTTAAAATTTCAGTGCATTTCATTTCTGTTTAGACTTACCCTAGTAAATTAAAAAGATTGATACCCACTCCTGATACAATTTTTTAGGCCAAAATGGCTATTTCAATCATTCGTTATTGGTAAATTTTTTTGATTCGATGGCGAAAAGGAACAGGTATTTAATGGAGGTTCTGCAGGGAGTCCTCAGAATCCGCACCATACATTACGCGAATTCATCGTCCCCATGACATTTTTCTAGGCGCCCATGAGAAAGGAACGATATGCGGTTAATAATTTTGACTCGACGTCCCACCAACACCACGGAAGACGGGGAGAGGGGATTGTGGTGGCGGCAGCGTTATGACTCACTGATAACTGTGGTAAAGCCCAACAATCGGCCTAGGGGTTTGGATACTAAGACGGAGTCTTCGGGCTAATCTTCGCTCCTAATTTATTGTACCAAAGGCAAATGGAATTAGATTTGTATCAGTGGATGCACTTTGTGCTGGAAGCTTAGTTAAAATCACACTGCATATTAAATAGAGATGTTTCCTGTACTAACCAATTTTGAGTAAGTCCTTCCAATGTCTGAGAAGTCCGGTAATTAGTTACCAACAGAGCAACTATACTGTAAACGTCGTACTCGTACATAACGTCTGAATGGATTTTCACTTGAAATGCGTCTGGTAAAATGTTATTTGGCTCCAAAACATCGATTTCATTATTGATAGAAATGTTGATTTATAACAATGGTGGGATATTCGCACACTTCAATTTGATCCCAATGGTGAAGGAGGACACAATTCGCATTACACAAATTAAATCAATGGAATATTTTGCGAATAAATGATGAAATAAAGGAAAGTTTGAAGCCATCTGTTTGGTGATTGGTGGAGTGAATGATAGTACGGAATGTTAATCTTTCGTGAAGCGGTAATCGAAAAACCGGGCTCGATGCTACCACCAATTCCCCTCGGTCAGACAAAAACACGGTTTCCGTGGTTTCCAATGATTTATCACTATCCGGCTGTGGAAATTTTGCTGACCACTTCTTCCCACCCCCGAGCCACGTGTGCGTGTACATCTTGGCCGAATTGTTCCTGTCAAGTCCCATTGTGGGGGTGCGTGTACGTACCTCAAACCTAGATGTCGCGCAAAAACATATTCGGGTGACGAAAACCAGAAGAATGAAAGAAGCAGAGTCGGCAACATTGACGATATGTGGCAGGTGTTCTGCATTCTTTATTGCGATGGGCTATTGCTCGACTGTGAAAGATACCGTGGCTATAGTGCATAAGTCGTTCCATTATTAGCTACGTCGATGATTCCGTCTCAAAGAGATTTGGTAAACATTTACTAGTGTAAAATACACCATAATGGGGATATTTCTTTGTTCCATTAACTACACTTATGAGTAACCTGTGAGAATAAAATACCATCGCATTCTGAAGCACCAATTACGGCTCTTGTTTAACGACCCCATGCGGAATTTCAAAAGCCGAAACACAATTTGATGCAAAATCAAACTAGTTTCATTAGAGCCATGCGGTTTATTTCTCTATAAATTTTCGAATTATTTTGTAAGGCCAACTTTGACTTGAAACATTAATGAAATCATGATTCTGACCACTTTAAATATAAGATTAATGGATTTTGTAAAATAAGAAAATACACTATTAAGCGTTTGATTTCATTACCATTAGCGCGTAGAATAAAATCTGCTGCTAATTCTGTGTTTTCTGTACCGGGAAAGAAGGTTGGACCAGTTTCATGCTTAGCCAGGTAACTTTGAAGAATCCCGATTTGGGAACGACAATTAATCCCATTATGATAAGTATTGACGTTAATAATAATAATGAGGGAAGTGGATAAGTAAAAGGAGTGACCTGACCTCACTCAGTCTGTCTAGTTGACGCTTCGTGGACAATTCATTAGTATGTGGACGTCTGTTGTGAACTGTTTTAAAACTAGCCCAAATGAGAGCCAGCTATGGGGTTGAAGGTAATTTACGATAGCCTTGAACCTGATTACTTCGAGTTTTCTTGCCTTGCGGTGAAGCTTCGGAAAATTCCTAGGCCCGTCGAACAATAATGTTTGGAACGGCTCGTCTTCAGGCAAAGTCTACGGAGTCCCTCCTTTTCCGCTAGTGTAGTTTACACCAGATTTAGCTCAGTGAAACTGTCAAAATACTTGCGCGTCCCTGAGCTATGTAGTGACGGTGAGTCGGCGCAGTCAGAAGGGTGTGAACGCACCGTTCCTCACGCAATCGCCCACACGGCCCCGGGTAGTCTACCCAGTGTTGGGTCGGTGATCTCCACAGCCTTCAAAGAATTTTGGATATATGCACGCATACACACACAAACGCAAATAGGCAATTGCTTTTATCTTTCGTGGGTAACAACAGGGGCACATCTGTCGTTGAGGTCCTCTGCACGATTACTTTTTGTGCAGTTTTCGCTTTATCCAATTGGGCTTTGATGTCATGGCACCGTATGCTTTCTAATTTCTAATTTATCTACTTCGTGCTAGAATCAGCCCCTAGGAATATGCGGAAAATAAATGCATTGTGGCTTTTTTGAGAATGAGCCTCCACTTGCCTTCTTACTAACTAAAATTTGACTAAAAATGCTGTCTATCCTATGCCAGTCAGTTGCAGACATTACAATGTTGATTTAAGCCCTTCCTAAGCTGCTTCTTTTTATGTTGAAATAATAACAATTTGGAATATATTTTATGCAAAAGTGGTGCAAATAATCAAGCCAGATGAGAATGTGAAGTGTTGTTTTGGTACACAACGTTGATTTTTGCTATTGATTACATAGAAGAGAGGGCGGATTCAGACCGATTGTCTGTGCAAACAGGGGTTCAACAGTGAACCCCTACAATTACAAGAAACACATGTAAATAAGATTTGACCGCAGAAGCACAAACAGTCGTGGTTTGACTTAAAACGTGGTTCAGAATAATAATAACTAGTACCACAACCGTGCCGTTAGCGTTAGAACCGTGTTTTGCATCGGCATTCGCGGTCATTCGCGTGTGTTGACGGGAGTCAGTGCTTCTTCAACTCAAGTTCACGCAGTGCACCTTCAATCACTCACTCAGACGTGACAAAATCGCAATTTTAACATCTCAACTTGTACATATTTACTCTTCTATGCTACTTTCAGTTTCCACTTTATAACAGAGCGTTTATAGCGAAATACTGATCCACTTAGCAGCTGTCAAGAGAAAATATGGTCATGCATCTAAAATCACAGATTTTTTGGAGTTATTCATTGAACTGATGATTCAGTAAAAGATTTCTTGTTGTTTTTTAGGCAGCAGTTGCATGGCTTATTTAGCCTACACCACTTTTCATCTATTTCCATTAACTAGATGGGAAATGTCATAAATGACATTAAATAATACTACATTCCTCACGATGCTACCCGTCATCAGTAATGGAATGGAAGTATTTCAAGTTGACAGTTTTGGACACGTGAATTCAAAGTATCAGTTCGACACTAATGCAAAACTGCTTATCTTTTCTAAACCAATTTTGCCATATTTTTGATATTTTTCATCGGTTTATTTTTATGCAGGAAAATGCAATATTGTCCTGAAGCGAGGAGCTTTATGTCGTGCTCCATTTGTCCCCCTCTTCCATAAAGCAAATATCTTGCAGTGTTTCACCGACAGTTGCATTTGGTATTTTAACATGCAATGATATTTCGTAATACTAAGCAGATTTCTGTCTGTCCTTCAAATTGTGCTTTTATTCCAAGAACCTTTTTATTAATAAAGGACAGAATTAGCCTGTTGAGTGATTCACACATTTATCAGGGGTTCAAAGTTACTATAAAAATTTTAAAATTGTTCCTAGTAGGCGTACTTTAAGTGAAGCTTCAACCACACATCATGCACATGGATCTCAAGAATTTCAAACATTAGTTCGGAATTAGCTTGTTAAATCCGCAAACAGGGCAATAAAGACTATGTATGCTGTTTTCCTGCCAAGGAACCTTGGACTTCTCCCCTGGCACCGGTTGCACGAGGTGCCTGCATCCTTTTACCAGCACAAGCCTCTCTGCATGCAGAGCTATGGTCTCTCGCGGTCTCAGCTCATAATATGTCACCAGAACTTCGACCACATGCCTATTATCAGCATTGGAGCTCGAATAGGCATTCTGCAGTGCGAGGAGCAGTTCAAATTCCGCCACTGGAATTGCTCCTCAGGGAAGGAGGCCTTCTCCCTCGGTGTAACCACTCGCCATGGTGAGCAATTTGGCATATTTTGTAAAACCCCAGCTAAGTATGAAGTTGATGATTCTCCCGCATATATTTTAGTTTTTCCTTGATCTGGATTCTTACGGGCAATAGACTACCCTTAAAATAGTGGTCATTACATGAGCACACTTTCTATATCCATTCGTGATTGTTATTATTAAACTCATGATGTCAATGCAAAATAATTTTAATGCGACGAAATTGCCCAATTCTTCAATGGTCACTCCAAGCCGGTATAAACGTCGTTAGTTATATGCATGTGCTCGCCGTCAAAATGTATTTTCTCTTGCGAAGTGCGAAATTCTCTGCTATTCGAGGTTTCATTAGCTTGTAAAAAAGAAGCAGAGGAATACACCGATTTTCTCATAACCGAATTATTACTTGGGTACATCCAATGTCAAGTATCTGACCCGGAAAATTGCAAAAAGCGCATTCACGCACTATCAGCGTCTAACCCTTCACCTTAATTTATCATCATTGGCTTCCACTGGCCAAAATCTTCTTCGGCTAGGTCATGCTATTATGGTACACAAAAGCAATTTATACAGTTATCACCTCTCGCGTATTCTTTTGCTATACTTTAAGTATATACGTTATGTTGAGTCACGATATCTTTGGGGCAATACGATTTTTAAAGTGACCAATGTTTCGCTAAATGTGCTTCTGACAGCATCTGTCTACCCACTTTCTACTGACTGGAAACAACTACATTATCCTTAACTTCATGACTTTAAACACACCCTTATTACTCCATTTTACAGTGATAGAGCTCAAAACATGTCAATTTTATTAAAATTCGTGCAAAGAAAAAGTGGTTATATATGACTCAGCTGAATTACACCTCACTCGGCAACTTGGTTGTATTACAAAGTAAAACATTTTTAGAATATAAAATTTTGCGTGAATTTTCGAAGTAGGAAAAATTGGAAGAACGGAGTTGATCTTTTCATGTCGATCTTTGTATTGAACTATGTGAAAATGAAGCATCCGTTAAGATCCCCTTTACCTTTTGTTGCCGATTATTGAGCTAGAAAACAGTTGTTTTTCTTGCAAAAACAGCATCTTTCCAGCCCATGACAATTAACATGTTTCACAGACTGTAGCAGGAATGCCTATGACTAACATGCATGTTGAATTTATCGCTGAACTGTGACAAGTGGGTCTGTCTGATCATCTCGAAACACACGAGTGTTTTCCACCACACTTTTGTGACTGTTGTCACATCTGAGGTGGTGCTTCTATATTTTGTAAAAATTGTGGATTCGCTAATAAATGTCCCCATTTTGACATAGGGTGCTACTTCTTCTTATCTACTTTTGAGCGTCAATGTTTGTATATTATCAATTGTTATTTGTATTTACCTTTCGACAAATCACTGTTTAGTTTCAGCTAACTCAAACTTTTGCGAGGACCTAATTTTTTAATTTTCTATAACTTAATATGATTGTCAACGGAACAATTTTCATTTTGAATCAGCCTTGGAAATCTTTAGGTAGAATTTTTTAGAAAATACACGTCCGATTCGGCAGAACTCGCTGCCTAGTAGTTCACGCGGCTGACTTCGAATGAGTGACCACTATGCCCAGTTTTGAGCACTGCCTTAGCTTTTAAGTTTATTGTTTGCACCGAACATTTTGCGCGTCTGAATGCAACCCAGCTCATACTCTAGAGCAACACCACTTCACCCCATTTCAAAGTAAAGCAATCCTTCTTGCGTGTTTCAAATTTGACTACTTTTCCAGTGAGGTGGAAAAACCGGCTGCAAGGTCGACACACTGCACTCGGTCATCTCCCGTATTGACTGACGATCATGTTTGATTGCCCAGTTTTTATGCCTCGAACTCAGGATCTGACAACTTACTATGGCTCGTTTTGTCGACTGTAAAGTAAATAGCATTATCTAGCTGCTATTAAGAACGGAAAGTTAGTTGTTTGATTCTTTGTCTGCTGTGAACAAATCTTGCTTATTTCATTTTAGAGTTTGGAAATCCGATATCCTCCAGCAGTAGTTTTTAGTTCAGTGCTTCAGCCGTAAACACTACTTGAATATTCAAACATTCTCTTTTACGAGGTTTCAAAACATTTGTTTGTATATATAAACTTATAAGCTTAATTAGTATTGAGTAATAAAAAGATTCAATCTGTAGGACGTTTTAGTGTTCGTGTTGTTGATTAACACCTTGTTTTTGAGAAATAAGCCTTTTAACAATGCAATCCAGATAACTCGATAGTGTCCCCGTGATCGTTGCGTAACTGGTTTGCTGCGACGAGGAGAAATACATCCGCTGTGCACTCGTTACCAGACTTGCTAATTTTTTGCATTCTTCGTTTCGTAATGATACCTAAAGGCAGTGTGGGCACCTTCCCCTCTCTGTGTAACTCTCACACCTTCCAGTTATTCAAGCGTGCCAATAACTCCTTCTCTTCATCTTCTCTCCCTCTTCCGCCTCCACCCCGTGCAATCTACGTTTTCCACGTGTTTCATTGCCGGTTTTGCAAGTGGTGGTGGAGTGGAAGACACGCAGATGGAGTGTACATGAGCGTGCGTTTGTAGTGCCTCCGACGCGCGTGACAACTGTTTACCCTACTCGCCGAGCTTCGGCACCAACTGTTTGCAGTTATATACTCCACATGCCTACGCGCCTGCACGCGAAGTGCCTCTCACCTGAAAGGATATGCTGCTGCCGGTGCTAGCAATGGTGGCAGTCGTGGTGGAAGTGGGAATTGGGGGGGGGGGGGGGGGCAGGCGGGCGAGTGACACAGTAGCACTAACGTATGTGCGCATCATGTTGTCATGTGCACATCGTGTTCCGAACACAGTTTTCACGCCGCATGGTTTGCCTCGCCAGGACAAGCAATCAGACATTCAACGGCGGTGGCAGTTCAGTTCATAAGCCAAAACTATATTGGCACCTGGGCAATACTTTTAGTTTCGTCAGGGTGGAGGAGCCTAATCACGAGGGTGGGGGGAGAAAGGGGGTGAGGCGGTGCAAAATTTCATGGCTGGTAATCCCGTGCACGAGTGCTTTTTAAATTAAAAATTGTCATTACAGCCGAACAGCTAATTCCGTCATGTAAAAAGCTGCCATTTCGGCTTGACGACGAAACATTTTCCAAAAATTCGATGGTCTGTTTTCTAGATTTCCACCAAAATATGTAAATTAGTAAGTAAGGACCCAAAATTTCACGTCATTTTGGATACCATTTAAAACAAATTAGGCAATTCTCTGCATTGGAACTTAAAAATATTGGCTTAGGCACTAAATATTAATTTTTTGCGCACAATTAATTTTCTGCACTTGGTTAGTAGTTGGCTCAGCGGGCCATGCTAGGTAAGGTATCAAAAGAAATGGATTACCTAGATATTGTGTTTTTTCATCCTGTTTGTTTATGACATAATGCTGAGTAGAATCATATGTTTAAACTTGCTGAAATGTTACTCGAGTTACATTTAAATGCAGTGTGGAATCGGTGGGGAAAGTAGATGTCGCTTCAAGTTGTAACATTATTAAAGATAGTGTGTGGGAAGCTACGATTTGGCACTGCTGGGAGAAAGTAAAGTTATTCTCTACCGTGCTTTGATTGGAATTTCTCAACTATGCTTAAGCGGTGGCAGAACAACCTTCATGCTCTAGTTCTACAGTGTATTTAGTCTTCACACCAGACCGCTATGAACTTTTCAAGGATATACAACTAATTCTAATATTATTAATTTCAACAAAAAGTCTTCCTGACTGCATTTAAGCAGGAGGAAATAGTAGGCTGTGGGTGTTGGTCGATTTGAAAACCAAAGTTCATAACTTGCTGTTCAAATGTGGTGCGTTTCGAAAAAAACTTGTCAATAGTAAATTTTGAGAATAATTAGGTATTTCATTTGATAAGTAGGTTCAAAGGTAAAGCAGGGCGGGAGAAAATGTGAATGTAAAGATGTGACGGTGACTGAGAAAGTAGCACATTAGAAGGCATGAGTGGCAGACCACATCACCAGCTCGCAGATTGGATGGCAGGAGAGTATAAAGGGAGGTGCAGTTGAAACGGAGGTTATGCTATTTCGGTAGGTACCCGAGAGGCGAGCTTTGCGCACGCCATCGCCTCGGCAGGTGTAGTACACGCGCTGGCGCGTAGCTGCAAGGAAGCCCGTCTTTCGAGCTGTGGCTGCAGTAAGGCGGAGCGGCCTCAGCAGTTGCACCGCGACTGGATTTGGGGCGGTTGTGGCGACAACATTGACTACGCCTACCGCTTTTCCAAGGCTTTCGTGGACATTCGTGAGAAGGAGAAAAGCTTTCCTCGCAATTCTCTTGGTCTAGCACGCAAGCTCATGAACCTCCACAACAATCGTGTCGGAAGACTCGTAAGTCGCTCTGCTCACGAAATCATCCATTTCCTCCCCTTGTTCTAATTATGAATCTCGGCCGGTTAATTAATGTACGCTTAGGCGAAAACTGCACTGCCGAATTAAGAGACAGAAGAGTCATTTGCGATTTGTGGAAAATAATAAACCTTCGAACTTATTTCTTTATTATTTTGGTATTCGCGTGATTGTAATTTTATGCAAATTTAGTTATTCTCAAATTTTGTTTGAATAATTTTGATAGCTTTAATACATGTATTAATTCGACGTTTCTGTGTAAAACGTAAATAAGCCATACTCTAAACTATCTACAAATCAGCAAAAGTGCTGTCACATTAAAGGAAAAATGTTTTAAATATGGCGCGTTATACTTACATCAATTGTCCTTTTGACCTTTGCATCAATTTTTCTTGTACTTAACGCAGGCCGTTTACAAATTGGCAACGGTTGCATGTAAGTGCCACGGAATGTCCGGATCGTGTAGTTTACGAACATGCTGGACCCAGTTGTCACCTTTCCCCAGAGTCGGTCAGCGTTTACAAGAAAGATACGAAAGCGCAATAAAGGTGAGTTCAGTTGACACCATAATCGTAGCTTTCACAATCCCCATTTCCGCATATATTCTCTGGTCATGCTACTCACAATTTGTAGGTAGACATGTTACTTTGTCTTGACAGGTAAAATTTAATAGACGTGGTACTCAACTTCGACGAGCAAATCGCCATCTTCGTCAAATCACATCGGATCATTTAATTTACCTGGAGGAGTCGCCCAACTTCTGTGCAGTAAATCCCCTAACAGGCAGAACTCTAACCTCTGGACGGGAATGTCGGCTTCAGGGCCACGCAAACGAGCGGTGCACGGTGCTCTGCTGCGGCAGGGGTCACCGGACCTACACGCGCGAGGTGCAAGAGCGATGCTACTGCCAGTTCCACTGGTGCTGCTCTGTGGAGTGCCAGACTTGCAGTCGAAGGGAGGAGGTGCACATTTGCAATTAATATTAATCGGTAGAGACCATCCATTTCCAACAAACCTCAACTCTATCTTTCTCCCATACCCATTCTAGAATGACACCTGTATCCACATCTTCCTTTCTTACTCATTCATAATACTGTATTGACTGAAGGGGGCATCCAGATTTGCCTCTTACTATGGCATTCTCTAGATACTGCCCATGGTTTTTCACTAAAGCCTGTGTACACATGCCATTTTGACAAGTAAAGATCGTCATTTAACTGCATACTCTTTCTACCGTTGCTTTTCCATTTGTTCAGTTTTTAGTTTTACTTTTATGCAAATAAAGGACAAGTCGATGTTTCAGCTCTTGCTGTACACCTTTTAAATCCCAAGAGGTCAGTTTAACAAACATTATTTACTTTAAATTATCAAAGTAGCAATGCACGATGAGATACTCTCCTGCATACCGGCTTACAGCTCATTTCACCTTTAGCTTCGCACTCCCCAAAGCTCTGACACCATGCTAAATCTGTCCTTATAGCGCCATAACTCAACTTTTGCATCCCAGTTAACTACATGGGCATCATCTCAAATGTAAATGATGACAAGCAAGAGATGCATTATTTGGCTCTCAAAATACTTATTTTTTGCCGGTAGATAAAGGCGACAATCCGCTTGAGCAAAAAATAAAGTCATATTTTCAAGGCAACTCTTGCCTCTTTCATCAACTCTGCCTGTTGTTAAATGGATTACCCTTATCACCCATATTTTAATACCTGTACCTTTTCCTGATACTTGGATGGAGCATGATATTTAAGGAGCCTATTAATCCGAGCTTGCCCTTTTCTGCCCACCATAATATGATGTGGTGAATTTTCACCTCTTGGCTATTCGTGAAAACACAAATGCTCACTAAATAGAGCTATTTTTTTATCCACACATTGGGACGCAATTACGTGCTTCTAAGTCTCATATTTATGAGTTCACTTCTGTAGCCTTGTGGTGAACCGGTGTAGAGTCTCTCATTTTACCACCTTTTGAAAGAGGAAGTGGGCTTCATCATCAATGGATGTTTTCATGTGCGAGTGCTTTCTAAAACGCATTCCAGCTCGCGTGTCAATCGCCTCTTTCTTCTCGCATACTGCAGCCAAAAAGAGCCACCTGTATTTAGCGCAAAACAAGTTCTGACAGTTAACATAAACAATTCCGATTTGTTTTAAGCATGTTGCATCTACTAATCCCCCCTCTACCTGCTTGCCCCCCAAATCCACGGCATCTGTATATGATGGAAGGGTAGATTTAACTTATGCCAAATCTAAAAAACACCGGCCGCTTACTCTTGTGAACCCGCTAACCAAAAATGTGCACGTTTTGTGTGCTCACAGACATGATGTGGTACTTCGGGAATGAGAGTGAAATACCATGCATTGCATAGTGAAAATCACCTTGTATCACTTCCTATATCACACAGAGGCTTTTCTGCTGCATGGCTGTTTCATAATTAATTTAAGTTAAAGGATTCAGTCAATCTTAGAATTTCCTCCGTATTAGACTGTCTATTTTGTCACCCTCCCTACAAGATATTTGCCTAACCTTAAAATTTACGAATTTCCAAAAAAAGTTCCTTTATGGTTGGCATTAAATAGGTATTTTTGTTGACTATCACGTTCTCTAAATTTTCATTTCATGAGTGGTTCATTAGTGTTTGAAATAGCGTTTTTCCATCATAAATTTAATACTTTGCCTGCTACGATCGCATTGTATTCATCCCAAATTACGTTTTGACTGTACTTGTTTGAGATTGCTATTTTTCTAAGACAACTGCAGGAATTGTTAGATTAACGCATAATAGTTGGAAAGTGTTGTCCTTTAACAGTGCGAACCCTTTCATTACCATTACCTTCCTTAAATAAAAGCATTCTGTTATATGAAGTACTCCTAACACCTTATTTTTTAGAGAGCAGTTTGACACCACATTTTATCCTCGAATCGTTGTTTTTAGTTAAAAAATCATCAAAAGTGTCTCGGATTAAAGCCATTTCATTAGAATTCTCTTTTTAAAACCAAGATGTTATAGATATAAGGATTACATATAGGATAACACTGTCATAGTTGCTCTACTACCTCGCGGCTTTTTCAAATCCAATGGAGATTTTTTGTATTTTATCGTGTGTTTACTTTCTCTAAAGATGCCGGTCTCAGCCCATGGTGTGGCATCCTCTGTAGTTAATCCAACTAGGGGCGAATTTTCATCGATAACAAGCACCATTAATGCCACTTGGGACCTACATTTATTGTAAATCGCCCCTTTCATCAAGAGCATAAAGCAGAAACAAGCTCCAGCGTGAAAATTTCACAATGCTTTTAGTTTTCACTTTCAGTTGTGGTGTTAATAGGAAACTGTCGCGAGTGCATGAGCAGTAAGATAAGCTCTATTTGAAAAAAAAATTTTAGACACAGACGTACTATGATTTTCTCTCCCCCTCACTCTCCCTTCACGAATTTTGGTATGGTTTACGCTAGGTTTGCCTGATCATGTATGCATTCAGCCGTATATTATGCCCCTCCACCCTCTCCCTCTCACTCTCCCCTCATTCGTTTCCCTTGCAAAAAATTACTCTTCCTGTGCTGCATGGTTGAATGGGGGTCTCAGTGTTCACGCTCCCCTAACCCTACACGGTAATCATTTCCAGCCTCCTCTCTACTTTCTCAACGGACATGTGTACAAGTGCGGCGAGCATAAAGGAGGGGATGTGCGGCACAGGTGCAGAATGTGTAGTCGTGGCGTTGCAGTTTTCGTTGTGTCGTTAAATCGCCCCAAGTACGCACGCATCACACACCGCACCCGCAGGCAGGGGGCACGATGGACATCATAAAACCACCACATCGAAGGGTAATTTTTTGATCCATAACGAGAGACCTTTATGGTGGAGGGGAGAGAGGAGTGAAGGACATCCTATCTTCACGCTTATTTACATACCTTTCACTACAGCCTCATCGCGCACGCTTTTTAACATTTATCTCTTAAAGTAAGTCAAAAGTGTCTTAACATTTAAATTGTTGAATTGTGCGATTTCAATACTTTAGTTTTGATCTCTCGGATTCGCTTCTGATAAAATCCCAAATCTTCTCCAGTGTAATGCTTCAAGAAGGTTGTTTTGTCCTTTCGACTCTCGAGGCTAGTAGGTGTTTGTCTCAGTCATAAGTTATTTGTTTCACATCCACATATACTTACCGTTCACTTGATTTCTCCAACTCACGTAAACTTCCTAACTATTCTGTTAATTATCTCACCAACCGTTGCTGAGCTTTTATTCAGCTGATACAGAAAGAGTCATGCCACGTGTAGACAGGGAGAATAATGAGAGGTAAATAAAAGTTTCATTAAAATGGAGGGTTCCATGCCTTAGTGTAGTGGTTATGCACTTCATTCCATATTTGAAAAATCATTAAGTATTCTACAAAGTTATCTCTGTATAAGTTCCAATTGAACACATTAGAAATTGGAAATTGGACATACAAAGTGGCATTCATCTTCAAGGTTTCAAAATCTTGTCAAGCAAATGCACAAATCTATTGACGAGGTTTTACACTAAGAATATAAAAGCCACGGGTTTCATCCGTCCAAATAAGTCCTCCTCTCCTTTTGCAAACATGTAATGGTAATCGGATTCCACTGATGATAATAAGCCTTTATAGTTCATTTAATAGCGCCCAAACTACACTTCTATTAGTCACATTTTACAGATATCCCTCTGCTAAATATGACTACTAGTCACTGTTGCAGTGGTATCAACATTTGTCCTACTCCAAACTAATTACCATTAGAGAAAAGTGTACGGATGACATCACACGATGACACAGGTGAAGGTATGTGAAGGTAAGGAAATTAGCATTCTACTAGGCAACCAGAGAAATGTTGCAATGTCTAGGCGAATTTGAATTTCATTTCAACAGTCCTGTTGACTCATTTTGTGTAGTTTTTGGCGTACCACTCTAAGTTACATGGAAATTCCTTTTCTTACTGACCATCGAATTGTATCTCAATAAGGTACTATTTTAGACATTTTTTTTATCTTAATTGTGAGGCTCAGGCATATGAAAGTGTTTCGGGATTGCAGCTTTGTTCTCTCAACGATGCCGTAAAATCTGATGCCTATGTGAAGTTCATTTTTAGTCTTGGTGGACAATTCATAAAATATTAATTGAATCCCATGGAGGGCAGCTTGATTTCATCATTTGTTATGTTCTCAACCCAGTTTTCGACTCTCCAATCCAAATCAGAAACGATAAATATGATCAAAAGTGTCTGTTCTTAACTTTAAAATGCTTGACACCTGGTTACATCGTCACTAGCATCGACTGATTAATTGTAGGTGGCATGCACATTTGACGAAGGTCCCATGCAGGGGGAAGAAGTGGAAAAGTTTGACAAAGACGAGTTGTGAGACAGGTGTTTTGCATTTCTTACTTCCAAATCTTCTTCCTGGGAATTTCTGCAGTGTTGATCTTCTGAAGGGGTTACTTTATTAGGCAAATTAGGCCATTCACTTTTCTTAGCTGAGCGAGAGCGGACACACGCCTACCCACACTCACGCGCACACAGACGCCCGATTCCTAGCACCTGGCTGGAAGGGATGGAAGAGGGGGGAAGGAGTGGGGAATGTAGGGGGGTGCGGGTGGCCTGTACAGGCCACCTTTCTCCATCTCTCGCCTTTTCTCTCCAACGTAAAATGATCTTCTAGGCAGGTGATTTTGTTTGGCCAGGGAGAGTGCGCGCAGGTGGGCGGTAGAGGGGAAAGCAGCAGCAGTGGTAGGGAGGGGCAAGGATGGCGAATTGAGAAGATGGGGGAGGGGGACTTACGCGTACTTGTTTAAACAAACTCTTGCTAGCTCTCCTGAACACGTGTGCGTGCACGATGATTTTGTGTTTATTGTCATACCGGAAACCCAGGATGGGAGGTAGCACTCCCTCTCTAGGTATGTTTAAACAACTGAAAGCGAATGCTCCACATCCAATACATCGTACCGCATAGGATCGTCTAATCAGCTGAGTAAGTCAACCTAATGATGGCGGGTTTCGGTTAACTCCATCTTTAATAGGTGGTACACCCACACACCACAGCGTGTACCAAGCGGCAAAGGCCCTGCTCCTCATTCGGTGAACCAATTCTGTTAAAGCGTGCGTTAATAATGCCAGTTCTACTAAACTGACGCACAGGAACATTACATTTTCTGTAATGCTTTACTTTAAAACTTATCAAAGAAAGCATTTTGGATAAGCGAATGGGTTCAGAGAAGTGATAAAGTACCATTAACTTTGAAAATGCCTATTTACAATGTCTGTAAAGTTGTAAGGCCTTTCGTTACTTTATGGAACGTCTATAAGCTCTTGGACAAATATTTAGACTTGGCCAGAAAACTTTAAAAGGAATTCAGTTTTGTTGTTTTGCCTAATCACATTGCTGCATGTACCCATAAAGCCACTGTATTAAATCGTTTTGGTTATTTTGTCCTCTAATATCGGCGTTAAACTCTATTATCAACTTTGGTTTTTGGTAGGCACAAGATGGGTGTCACATAAATACTTGTGATATAACAATACCAAAATCACGTTGCATTAGGAAAATTGTCGCCTTCCAATATATTATGCATATATTTCCTTTCCGCTGGACTACAAATCAGGAGCACTGATGCGGTTCAGAGGAAGCAGTAGTGGTAAGTGCGCTTTAAATTGCAAAGAGAGTTAGCAATAAGGTATTCAATAAGTTTCGTGGTAGGCCAAACGACAACCCTCATATGTGGATTAGTGGGGAGCGTAGGTTCCTATCTAACTCGAGGATGATACCAAAGCTAGCATGTGGCCACTGGAAAAGGCACTCCTTTTATAATTACAATGTGAGCAGGTGCAGGGGAACCCACAGAAGTTTGAAATTGTCGTAATGACCCGACTTTGGTAGACAGCCCTAAAAATGCTGGCTAAATTTTATTGAATGCTGTTCTTCCCTCTCCCACCCACTTTAATTGACATAGAATGAAGGCCAGTGGAGTGGTCTCACTCCTTAAAACATCGAGATCTTAAATTGATAATGAGTTTTAATCTGAAGAATTTTGACTCAGGTGATGATCGTCTGCGTGATTCTGGACTTCGTTTACGCTATTTGACAAAAGCACCTAAAAAGAAAAGCTGTGACTTGATGTTCACTGAGCATCAACTTTAAGCATTCTTTCAAAAATACGTAGCAGAAGGTAATGCATGCGCATTACAATGTTCATTAATAGATTCTGCTTCGCTCATCTACAGATACAGTACATAAAATGCAATTTTCACAAGTGCAAGCTGGTATCTTTGGGGCGAATGGGACTTCGAACAGTAAATGAGTTCCTACCTAACGGTAAAATAAGCATTTACGCTTCCAAGCTAAGCCAAACGGAGGCATTCAGCCAATTAAGAATTTATGAATTCTACTCTTTAAGCATTGATTTTCCCTTCTAAGGATGCAAGAGAATAGGGAAAATATAAAAGCTAATAACAACATACTAGCTCTATTGGCTGAAGAGATGGGAACTAGAAGACGGTCAATGCCACGGTGGGCAGCGATGAACATTTTCTGTATCGGTTAAGGATCCAAAAGACACCATTCTTATTCAATAATTCCAAATTAATTAAATCTTATAGGCAATATAAGCAATTACCCCTGATTATCGATGATACTTTGTCATCATGGCTATTATTGCGTAAAACTGAAGTAAACTTTGTGAGAACAAATTTCGCGGTTTGTAAAGACAGTGAAATAGCCGTTGTGAGTGTCTAAGTTTTGCCGTCGAACGCGGTCAGGGTGTTGAGTACATACCTGCTGCGCGTTACTCACTCACAGGCGTAAGTGGACTGCGTTGTCAGCGTAGCGCTAGGCCTAAATGAAGGCGAGGGAGGTCGCGTTAACGCGTAAAATAGCATGAAGCTGGCACCTGTAACATGGCACAGCATGGCAACAAATCAGTCTCCGAGGCAGGAACCTCTTTGTTTGAGGAGTGCTCACAATGCAGTACCCATTGCTACAGCAGCCAACTGTCAGATTTTTAAATGCTTTAACATGCCGTACCTTTTAATGCAGAAAAAAGCAACTAGCTTCTACTGTTTACTTCATTCATTTAAGTTGTAGGGGAACCTAGTTTTTAGATTGTTTGTCAACTGACTTGCGATGGACAATGACTTTTGCTTTTTGACTTTAAGCGCAAAAAACTATAATTAGTTATCAACACAATCTCCCCACTACCTATCCTCCCCTTCTAAGGAAGACAATAAATTATTTCCAAAAGACCATGCTGCCTTTGTATGCACTGAGCTGTCGGTGTAACTGTTTCCAATAAATTTCTTATTGAAGACAAAAATGACTTTAACAGAGAACAACCTACTCTAAACAATACAGTTCCAATGTCTATATGATAAACTATTAGCCAAAGAACCAGGTCTGGTCAGTCAGCGAAGGGAAAGTCACATTCTACTATAGGACAGTACAAATTTTTCAGGCCATTACGAAAACTACTCATGAGAAGATTACCGCCTTTAAGACGGGAGATGGGGAAGAAGGTGCTATTTCATCTACATCCCAATGATCCGTAGTTTCCCAATGTTTATTAGTGTGATGGTTACCACCATTCCTCAACATTGGGCAATTACACGCGGAACGGAATTGACAGTTTAAGAATAAAAGTGTGGCAGAAAAGAAAATAGCAATAATAAAAACATTTTGTAAAAGCAGGATTTACGAGCTTCTGACTCATTACGAAATTACGACCCATTGTAATGTTGATTACTACAGTTATTTACTCTATTGTAAAACTCATAAATTGTTTATTTGCTTTATTGCACTAGAATTACATGCAGAGATACTCTATTGTATATCTTGGAGCATGTATCATCTCAGAAAGTAGGATGAGAGGGCAGAGGAAGGCTCCAAAGCCATTAGGATATGTAGACGAATAGACCGCTTTTATACAAATAAAGCTTGACGTGATTGTCACTTAACTCTATAGCCTTCGGGAAATTCGATCTGGCTTACTTTTATTCACCAAGAGTTTGTCTACTACTGGCTAGGAGTGCGAATTTATTTTTCTCACTTCATCAATTACAATGCATTATCAGCGACTGTTGTGGATGAAATTCCGGAATATTTAATTTATGGTAGGTCATTAACGATTGCAACTGTTCATTTTAGCTCCATCTTTTCGCCGACCTTGTGTGAAAACTAGGTCTGTAAGTGTTTTATTACATTAATCGTCCACAAGGATGCATTTGTCCAAAAGAGCCACTTTAACCATTCATTTCATACATACCTTAAGGAACAGATCATGAACAAAATATAAAAGTCGTTTATTGTGAGTATGTACAAGTGCACAGCCTCATGCAATATTTTAATACATGTTAGCATATTCGGAAATCTTTTTTATTGAAGAGGACTGTCCATTTCCCCCGGATCTCTTGCAACTTCAATTCCTCTTTCTCCAGTATGCTGCTGCTCCTGCATTGGCCGTGGAGATTTCTCACACATGTGCGTGTTGTTTAAGTAATCTAAGCTTTGCGAAGAAGTGAGGTAAACATCGATATTTTCCCGTGCTGAAAAGTTGGGATGAAGGACCTCCATATGTCGCATTAAGTGATCCTTTCGATAGTAACCATGTCCACACAGCCTACACTGAAAAGGTTTAAAACCGACGTGTTTCAGAGCGTGTCTCTGGAGGTTCGAGCGCTGGGTGAACTTGGCATGGCAGACATGGCACCGATAGCCCCCGTGGACTTCGAGTGTGTGCACTTCGAGGTGCTGAAGCGACCGAAACTCCATCACGCTGCACTGGTTGCACGAGAAGATGCGTCTGCCCCCGGCACTGAGGCGTCTAAGAGCCGACGTTTTTCCTGGCTCTTTATTACCCTCGTAGTAGTCTCTCGTCACCGCTGCTTCTCCTTTGAAGGGCGTGGGGGGAGCGGACTCAGCGGAGACTATGGAAGCTGCGCGCGATAGATCGAGGGCACCTGAGTCGGGACTATGGGAGGTAGGAGAGGTGACGCTAGTGGGACGAATGCGCATGGGCTGGTAGGATTTGCGCTTGGATGTGGATGGCGGGTTGTTAGTGTCGGTAGTACCAATGGTGGCAGTGCCAAGTTTTACGGCCACTGGAACAGCCGAGTCAATACAGATTGTTATTTCACCTTGCACTGTCAAATTGCAGTTTTTAGTTGGTAGACACTCAAGGATAGCCTTGTGGATAACGTATTCGAGCTGTTTACTGCTTGGAAGCATACTATGTTGAAGTGGCAGTTGCTGTTTCTTACATCGCTCGAGAATAACACTGAAGAAGGACTGGAGATTGTAATTACATTCAAACCCAATTGATGATGGTTTTTGTTCCGAAAACGAAGCAAAATGTTGCAAACCACACGCTAGTATTGATAAATCTTCTGGTTCATTTGCATTCAGAGTAAACATTATCTACAATAAAATATCACATTAATATGCCTTAAAGTTCATGATGGTGTACGAAAAAGCATTGTGAGAATTCGGAGCTCACGAGTCACTAGGTCCGAATCGGAAGAGTGACTTAAGTGGAAAGTTTTCAAGTTTATATAGAGGACTGAAAACGCGGATTTCCCACTTTCATCCAATCGTTAAACAGGACCTTAATTTATGTGAGGATGGGATTGGCCCTTCACGCCTAGGATGGCGGTACACGTGCGTACGGGGGGAGGGAACAGCCAATGGGCGTACGAGGCACTTTCCATGCGCTGATTGGTCCCAGGCATTTATCGCTGCGCGGCCAAATGCCATCGAAAGGATAATCTGGTCAAAATAAGGAAAAAAAACCCATTTTGCCTTTTGACAAAAGCACAATTTGTCAAATCTCAAAAAAATGATGCTTTTATTTTTTTATGAAAGTGAAAGCCTTTTCCTAAATTTTAGCATACATCAAGACTTCCAGCAAAATAGGTCTTATTATTGTAAAAATTGTTTTCTTTCCTTTGAAGAACTTTAGTTTATAAAATGTAAGACAGCACGTTAAATAATAATATGATGCTTTAAAAGGGTGCATTATAAATGGTAAACATGAAACATTCACTCTGCGTATGCGGTGGCGGAAAGTATTGACGACCCGTTAAATATATTGAATGCATATATTACTTCGCATTTAGGGATTATGCGTGAATGGCTAGGAAACACAGAAAATTGCTTTAACGTTGCTTTGTAAACGCTTTGAATAAAATAATAATAACGTGAAATCCCTGAATTAGAACTTCATATAACGTTGCTTTGGTGCTGTACTTATTCGATATAGTGCAAATTATGGCTACACCAGGATAAATGGAAATATTTGTTTAATAGTGCCACCTATTATGATGTGCAGCATTGGTGGGCTACAGCATTTTGCATATCAGAAGTGATAATAATTGAAATATTTCCACTAATAAACTTCTGTACCACATTCGAAGCCTAAAATCGTCCATCTGAAGATAATCGATTCCATGGTTGACCCTTGCTAATCTATAAAAGCGGTTACTTAAACCCTAATGACTCGTATTAGATAAGGAGACACGGCTTCTAGAGCCAACATCGGATTTACTCCCGTCAGTATGAGTCGCAGTTGCATTTGATCTTTGGAAGTAACTGTCCTTTGACGTGTTGCCATCACTTCAGCACCGCCATTGGTGAACTTGAATTTTATGTACCGTGCGTTTATGCTTACTTATCATTCGCGTACGTCGGCGCCTGCACAACCAGCTCAGTGGAGAATAGCATCAGAAGAGCTATTACAAATATAAGACAGAGATAACTAGCAAAAAATTTGTGCATGATTAACCACTTTTCAGGAACGGTAAAACCAACAATACTGGGTCAACAGCTGTTCAAGTTTTTAAATGAGAATAAGTGTAAATTATTTATTGAAAACAGCTATCAATAAGTGTGAAAATTAAGTGGTTATAATAGTGCTAATCCAATATTTATACCTTATTTTTTGCACACTGCTCCCAGGTGAAGGGACATTATCTCCTTACAATGGGTTCAAGCGCTAAGTGCACAGAGTGCCTGTATACTCTGTGGTAATGCCTCCGATGCCTGTCTTATTTGCAGCTACACGGTGAACTGTAAAAGCACTCATGCTCTGTTGGAGTTACGGTTGCTACCCACAGTCACAAACAAAACTGCGATGAGGAGGCCTTCTGCCCTCTGCTGCCAGTCCCGGTGCTGGCAAACATGCGCAGCTTTCAGTTGCTACCCGGCTGCAGAAGCGGTGGCGGTGGTGGCTAAGGCCGCCTTCTGTGGGCTGCTCCAGGCCCAAAGGGGTGAGACGGGGTGGAGTGGAATGCAGTGGCCTGGCTTGATGTCGCATGGGTTCACCCTGCCTGTTTGAGCACGTATTAGCGCCACACGTACTGACGTGTTTTCGTGCAAATGCCGCATTACGTTTATCCAAGTGGTCTCAAACAAACTAACTTCTGACGTGGCCACTCTGTAAAAATATCTGTACATCAATTTCTATTCCACAGTGCTCAAACTCCAAAAAATTTCAGATTATAATAAAAGGTTTTAAAAGACGTAAATTATCAAATATAAAGCAATAAAATAAGCATAGACCATTAACAAAAATATCAGCTCAAAGATGGCCTTAACCGAAAATAGAAGGATTAGAAATGAAAAAATTCTTACGATCAAGGAATGTCCTCTTAATGTGTAAAGCAATATCAGGAACAGTGGGGTTTCCATGTAGCTAAATGCAAGACTAAAGCTGATTTTAAGCACCTTAAAATTAATTATGATTACTTGAAAGAGTGATTACAACAAATTCGGATGGGTCAAATACAAAAACACATCTTAGTGTCCTTATGATCTGTTTTAAATTGAAGAGCAATCTCTATTCTCAAATAAAGCAGTTGTGGTTCCATTTAAAGATTTACCATCAATTCTTCTTCACTGCGGTATTAAATCGAGGGTGGAAATGAAGATAGATAATATATGAATGAATGCAGTATCATTATAGTGGACACGAATCCAGCATTGATGCGACATCGTTTCTTCCGTGAACTTCTCAGGACATATACCAGCCTTTTGCTTCACATTGTGCACGAAGGAATTTATTGGCAAGGGAGAATTAAATAGAGACAATGAGCAATGATAAACCAATGACTACATTGCCTGGTCTCGTACCGTTGGGATTTGATTTGCACCATTTCCTTTCGGACGTAATTATCTCGAATACCACCGGTCAATTTTTTGGTGTTTTAGTACGTAGTCCCAACTCACGAGATTCATTTTCAGTCGAGATGATTCAACCAACTATCCTTGTGCTACATTCTGGCCATTCGGCCAGGAGAGGGAGAGAAGTGTGTATTTTGTGTGCGTGTGTGTAGGAGGAGGTGGAGGGGGGAAAATAAGACCAGTTTGCTCAAACAAATCAACAGATGCCTTGGAGATTGCATCCTGTTGCTATGCCTCCACATTCCCGCTGCACACATACACGCACGGATGCGCATGAATTGCTCTCCTGTTGGGAACACTGAGCAGTCCATTTGTCTGCTGTTGCATCGCCAACATTACAGAATTTGGGATGCAGGTAGCGGTGTATCACTCACAAGGGGCTAAAAATGAGTGACCGAACGTCAATAATAAAAGGATAAACAGTTTTCGCGTGCACACTGTTGGGGAAACCTAGAGTCAAGAGGCCTCTATGCATAGTTAGTGTGTCCTTTTTTGAAGGATGCGTCAACTCCAAGTAATCTGCTTGACCTACTCTTGTTATTCCACCTGGACCTCCATGATCTGAATAAAGGAAAGCACTTTTGATGAGCGTAAGAACCAACTACCGGCAAGTACATGAGGCATTTGTTAATCTTTTCACGAAAAAAAAATTACAGGGCTCAAACTCCACATCAGGGTAGCTTCTATGGTTAACGCATATGTACATACAACTCAGTTATAAACAACGATATCAAATTCGGTTGAAAAGATCCAAGTCACTTTTATCCTATTAGCTCATAAATTAGACTGATTTACCAATAAATTATTTGAAAATTTTAGGTCTCGTTAAATTAAAGAATTCGCTTAATAAAATTTTGTTTACGGCTGAACTTTCATGCAGCATTTTTGCTATTTGATACCCTCAGACAGACAGTGATTTAAATAAATCAGTTATTCTAAAGTCGGCTGAGCCAAGTTCTTATCTCGAAATAAAAAGGAAATCGAAATCTGTTTACAAATTGAAACATTCGCCGCCACATTTCTCCTCTCGGCAAGACAAACTCAACAAGTTGTTTAAACTGACTTAGCTACTGGGACCGTCAGACTGTGTGAAGGCACTTGCGACGGTGAATATTATCCAGTGGCCCAGCAACCAGTCAATCAAAAGACGCTAATATTCGCTTGCACTCGCTCCCTCCCCTTTCATTTACTTACATACAGGCACATACACACTTGAGCAGCCGTGAATTGGGGGGAGGGGTTTGTTTTGTTAAGCCTCCTTAATATGTGTGGTGGGGTGCCCCACACAGGTGTACTCTTTTGTTTTGGGTTAAGCTTGTGCAGAAGTGAACAATCTCGCAGCGCATGTAAGTGGAGACGCTTAAAACAAAAGGAGGTAGCAACAGATGGTTGACCGCTTCGTACATGATTGGATACCAGCCCGACAATTCATAAAGACTGAACATTACTCACGGCTAGTTACTCGTGTGTGTGGGGGAGAGTGGGAGGTGGAGGGTCGGGTTGGGGGGATAGATGGGGGTATGTGAGTACGGGTGCGCTGTACGCGGTAGACGCCGAACTCGTCGAACACGGTGCCCAAATGAACTTAAGAGAGGTGAGATGTTGATTTATTCGAGTTGTGGACCATAGTGATGTTAAATAAATTCGAATATATGCTTAAATGGGTGGGAATATGTGAGTGTTCCACCTTCGATAAATCAGTCCACCGCAGTAAAATATTTCCAGTCCAAATATTGGAAGCGGAAAATTTGTTACAGAAGGTAAGCTTCCTGATGCAGAGAGCTAATATTAGTCCACCCAATCAGCCATTTTCAGCCCCGAAACATAAATGTCCTGTTGAGAAGGCAAGTTTTCCTCGATGATGTTTTTAGAACAAACTGACAACCCTTGTACCGTTTGTGTTATGTTATGGTCCTACCCAAAATCTGGGCTACGGTAACAGGTGTTCAAACTACACAAGTTTTTGTGCACATCGCTAAGTCCATATGTGGGATGACAATTTGAATGCATTGTAAGTTAAATGGACACACATATTACTTTATTTGCACAATCGCGACCGAGCTCCACTGTAAAACAAGGCCTCACTTAGAATATGGACAAAGTTTCAATCACATTGTGTTCGCGCTATCCTGAGGACTGGGGACTAATTGCAAAGCCAGTTAAAGTAAACTTAGGCCATGCTGTTGAAAATTTTCTACGCTCCAATGCTACAAATGTTAATGGGCAAGAGCTTTAATTTTTATTAGGTTCATTCACCAATGATTGTATATTTGCACACACGCGCAAAATTACACTTATTCAAAATAGATTATAAAAGTCCACTTTAGAAATTGACTTTTTTAACTATAGGTTAACAGGGAGACAGATGAATAATCCATATTTTAGTGGGGTACCAAAGGCGTCAATGCATAAATAAGGCGTCGGCTTGTGTGTATTTCCAATGCATTTGAGAGAGGGGGTTGCGTGTTATCAACAATATTATACACGATCTGTAGGTTAAAATAACTGACCTCATGCAAGCCATAGTCGTACTGGCGCATGGAATTGGTTAACCTCTTCCCTTTACCCTCATTTCGTGTCAAAGCGCCTCACCAGTGATACTTAATCACTAGTCTTCCTTCCTGTCCATTTAGGGTTGACAAACCAAACATTTGGTTCTCGTCAAGGCTCAAGTTTAGTAAAATTTTAATGTCAGTTAATAAGACCCCTACTCCGTTGCAAATTTTAACCCCTCTCATACCACTAACGGATGTTCACATAACCCACTTCCTTTTAAGTGCTTCACCCAGATGGCTTTCACAATTCCATTGAAAAATACAAAACGAAATCCAGTGCGTATAATTATAAATTTAATGACGCAATGCTACCTTGCTCAAAGTGACCATAGACCAGTCAATATTCACATCGAACCAAGTTGTCCACATTTCTTACATGTATAAGAATTATCCATTTTCATCTGCCTCATTAGACGGTTAATGTTTAGTTTTGTTAAAAGTAAGTTGTTTTGCGGGGTAACAAAGATACTGAAATAGAAATTGCCTTTAGTGAAAAGCGAAACCACTACTTACTGTAACAGCTGAGTTGCCTACATTCGGTTCATTAATGTTATGCACATACAGGCATACGCCCTATTGTTTAGTACTTTTCTCAGGTTACAATTTTAATTGAGAACCATGGAAATCAGCAAAAATTTAGAGCTAATGTTGGGGAACTAAAAGTTGTGGGTCTGTGAATTAGCAGACGTGGCGCCACAAGTATCTGTTTACATTAACCTATGGAATTAGGCGAAAGGCCCTCGACACAGGAAATGGAATGGGCTCCCAATGTGGTTTTCCAAATTGTTTATGTTAGACATCGATGCGGACTGTCCCCATCCCCGGGCATAAACATTTGTCAAGCCGCTAGTCTCCAGGCTGTGGTTTCCACAGTCGCGACATCAGAGCATGAATATGTACGTGCTGCTGATAAGGGGTCAGACAATCAATTTGACTGTGGTGCCTCATAGACAGTCATTCCACCTTTACACTTTCTTTCTCGCACAGGTAAACATGTGCTCTCAACCAGGGTTGGTTGATTAATTTTAATGTATCCTCCTTGTTAAGACTTTGTATTTAGCCAATGCAGACTGCTGAAAGGGACCACGAATCGCATCCATTTAGTAGGCTGGTGGATTTTGATACTGTTAGTTCTTATTCGTACAGAAATCCCAGCGGCAACCATTGAAGGCAAGTAATTTTTTTTGCATTGTTCCAGTTTAGAAATTCAGCATCCAACTGCTGAAAATATCCATATATCTATAAAGAAGATTACAAAAACCTAATTCTAACGGTATCCTATCGCGCCGTCTTCTCTTACATTTAATGTAATGCAGTCGATTTGAGTGGAGTGCGACCGAAGTGGGCACATTTTGGTCGTAAATGTGAGTTGCCGGGTTATGGGGTGAGTAATCCGAAGTCATCAATCCAGGGGAGGGAACTCTATGTGGGCTGAGGTCAGCTAGAGTCGTCTCCACACCGTATAATCACTCAGAGGGTTATGGAAGAGAAGGCCCTTCCAAATCACCTAATTAGTAATAAACTTGTTTTGTACGCAAAAGCACGTGTTTTGAGAACCAAACACACTCATTTCAGTTTTGTTTTCAGTCCGGTTGTGCCTATAGAAAGTGCCCTCTCCTTTGGATCACGGTAAAATTCACATTCATTGACAGCTGAGTTACGGATACTAGGTTTCTTTTATTAGGGCGTTTTAGAAATTACTCATTACTAGAGAAGATTATAATTTGACAATGACAACTCACAGTATTCACGTTTCTCAACCAAAATTGTTATATTATTCGTGTCTTTCAGGTTTTTTAAGGCAAACTTCTTGTTTGCCATTTGTGAATCAAATTTTAGTCATTGGTTAGGCTCCTATAGGATTATTCCTAGTATTCATTCCATTGGATCTGTTGTGAGTCAAGCGGTGTCATAAAAGTCCTCAAATTGATTGTCTAAACAGAAGGTTTTTGCCATAGTAAGCAGGAAGTCGCAGCAAAGCTCTTTTACTTCTATTACTACTGTAAAGAATCGCTTCTCGCCCTTCAGTCATACTTGTACCTGAGGGATGTGATTCATGGCTGTCACCGCTGCTGTGCCACAAAGTTGCCATATAACCCTGGTGGCCTCACTTCGCTTCACTTCCTACTGAATTCAGAACAGCGTTAGCAACCGCCAGACATTATGGACTGAGTGGAGAGGGTTATCAAATAAGTTGAACTCCTTACAAGAGAACCGCTAGCTGTTTATAGTTTCTGGTAAACCTTTTATTTAGTTTAGTTTTAAGGTAATACTTCCTTGTTAAATGCTCTTAAATTTAAACTATAACCGCTTAGTGGGATATTAGGCAATTTTCCATTCTGAGAAAACTAGAACTTTCAGAAGTTGCAGCACCAGGACGACTTATTTTATCACTGTCGAATTCACACAATGCCAAATAATAGAGATGGATCACACATAGAAGGCGATGATGTGGAGTTGTCTGTAACTTCCCATGGTGAAACACCAAAGTATTAAAGCAGGAATAAACCAAAGATGATTTGGAAGTTAACAACGACGACATCATCACACAATGAAGAATCACAGATAATATATTTTATGTGAATTAATACTTTTCAAAGTGACCGACCGGTTTTTAAACAGAGAGGCACTTAACTACGGAGAGTTTTTAGGTTGTCTAAAGATGACTTCCGCCAGAACCGAGTCCCCCACTAACGATAGCCATAATCAGATCTTTGAAAATACCAAAAAACAGCACTGGTTGTCTAATTTTATCATCCTTTAAAATTCACTTCTTGGAGTGAAGTGGGAGAGCTTCGAGAATCGGTAGAGGCCCATCCGTGGCGATCCCTAATTCTGGCATCAGAATGGGATGGAGTAGGCAATGACGAATTAAGAACTTTAGAGAACCCAGTTTGCTAATTTTAGAACCTGAGTGGAGCTAACTGCTCACAACTTTTGTTTACCAGGATATTAATGTGATACCCACATATGCATTGGAATGCATATTTATGAACGCACATTCACTGAACTTGTGTTCGCCTGAATATTCCCGCGCTTTTGTAATGACTAAATCCGCTAAACAATCACTGAGACCAAGGCAGCGCAAAAATAAGGTTGAAATAAAGGAGTTTGTAACGTGTCACGTGTTGGGAACTTGTTTTTGCGGTAACGTAGACCGCTCATCCTGTCCTCATTGGTATTCTTTACGGCGTGAGAATGCCTAGAATCCACATACATCCAAACTAATTGCATTCTGCATTATGTTAAACTTGTCCCCTTGGAATGCAACCATGTAAATTAGAAGTGGTACTGCCAAGCATGACAGAGTTAGGGCCACAATACAAGAAGTTGAAAATGTTCAATATTAATTGTTGAATAAAATACCAAAGCTACCTTTTTTCATTAGTAAAACGTTTGAGAAGCTGCATGCTGTTAGTCCAGCTGCAAAGCCTTATCCCTACATCGAAAAGGAATTTCTAACATCACTCAAATACGATTTTGAAGGGAAAAATGAGTAAAGTTGGATGACCTTTAGGTTTTTTTGGGTGATGTCTGATCGGAACTAGTCTAAGTAATAAAACGGTCATCATGCTTGTTGATTTATGCTACTGTAAGTTAAAGTGAGTTAAACCTGAGGAATTCATTCTCCAAATCGGTCAGTCAATGTAAATGCTTTCTTTTGTTAAGAAAAGACGTTCAAAATAGCGGAAAAAATAATTTGCTTAAAACTCCGGCCGCTGTCTACTGCGACTGTCCAAGTTTGTAACACATCGTCACCGTCTAAACAGGACGTTACTCCATTTCTAAAATGTTTATTAAAGTACACCTTTCAGGTGATGGACGGAGGGGTTGCGCCAACTTCGTGATTCAATTGTAGCGTCCCGAGACTTTCCTGAA